TTATATTAGCTGTCACTGTAGGTAACATTTCGTAGACTACACTTTGTATTGGTAACACTTGTCATAGATAACATTTCATATAGTACACTTTGTATAAGTAAATTTTCATATACGGTGGTAGGCGATTATATCAATAAAATGAAGACGACTTTCGATTTCAATTTTGATTTATATCAAGCTTTTAATCAGCATAGATACACAAACACACAAAAAGAAGGAAAAGCTGTTAATAAAAAAGCTTCTCTTTAATTACTCGTAACTTGTAATTCGAAAAAATAATTATCGTTGTATTGGCCTTATTATCAAGGCACTTTGCAACATTTCGTATATATTACATTTAGTTTCAAGGCAACATTTCATATATAGAATACTTTGTATTGGCAACATTTCATATATAGAATACTTTGTATTGGCAACATTTCATATATAGTATACTTTGTATTGGCAACATTTCATATATAGTATACTTTGTATTGGCAATATTTCATATATAGTATACTTTGTATTGGCAGTATTTCATATATAGTATACTTTGTATTGGCAATATTTCATATGGTACACTTTGTATTGGCAATATTTCATATGGTATACTTTGTATTGGCAACATTTCATATGGTACACTTTGTATTGGCAACATTTCATATGGTACACTTTGTATTGGCAATATTTCATATGGTATACTTTGTATTGGCAACATTTCATAAAGTACACTGCATATTGGCAACATTTCATATAGCATACTTTGTATTGGCAACATTTCATATACTACACTGTGTATTGGCAACATTTCATATAGCATACTTTGTATTGGCAACATTTCATAAAGTACACATTGTATTGGCAACATTTAATATTGTAAACATATTATTGGCAACATTTCAGAAAGTACACATTGTATTGGGAACATTTCATATAGTACACATAGTATTGGCAACATTTCAGAAAGAACACATTGAATCGGCAACATTTCATATAGTAAACATATATTAGTGTAGGTTCTATGCATTATGTTCCTTAACCCAGATTCGCTCTGGGCCTCACAAATAACTTGTTCTCCCCATTTTTTGTTCTAAATACAAGACAGCGTTCTCAATAAATATCTTAAACAATGGAGAAGAGGGGCGATGCGTACTCCATAACACGCTATGCTGGGAGAGGGTGTGGGCCAGGAACGAGTACTTTTAAAGTTTTTTTTCGGATTCGCATAAACACTTTTTATTTTTACAATTTAAAATTTGTTCATTATAAATCACTATGCATGCAATCTATTTCTATGTAATATATTTACACACTATCTTGGGAACCCAGCTTTGCCTAAACACTAAACTTTCTCTCAAATATTCACCCACTCAGCAATTAGACATTTTAAACCAGGCTAAGAGCATTCACTTGGTTCTAAAAACTTGCTCAGTCAAAATTTAAGGCAAATCAGTCACTAGATGTTGATCGGACATACAAAGAAACAAACAAAGATTACTACTTAATTTATATGTACACTGTACATAAACATGGGAATTTATTGACAAATTCGATATCGTCTTTTTAAATAATTCTTTGATTTAGTATAGTGATACCTACTGAGAAAGCTGTAATCTGTAAGAGTTTCGTCTGCTATGTTCACATTTTGTTTGTTTATGTTTTGACTGCATACGGTTGTACTTAGTAAAACAAGAAAATAGCAGCATACAAACAGAGTAAACTTGTCCGTCTTTACTGTATATCTTGAGGATACATTATAGACACATCTTTACAGTCTTTTACCCTTTTCATAAAATAAACTCTAGCAGACATAATAATATTATGGGTTTGAAATTAGGTATTACAATGCAAATTCATAACAAAGACGATATCCAATTCGTCACTGAATTCCCATGTTTTTTGGGACACCATGTAGATGAATTCGTTTGTCTGTTTTTTTATTGTATCTAATCTAATCAAGCTCAACGCTCAACGTTTAAAAATTTAAGAAATCAGTCAATAAAAAAATATCCTTATTGATCAGCACCAAAAACCTAAAAAAGTTAGTTGATTGGCGTGAATCGACCTGTAAGTGTAGTGAGATTAATACCACTGTTCAACAATGTAGCTTGGTAATCTTAAACGGATATCATCTTTTTAGTGATATGACTTGATCTTTACAAGATTTAACGCTGCAATTATTATATATCTATAATAAAATAAATAAGACTAATAAATTTCTGTTGAATTGTTTCTAAGATTTCATCCTTTATGTAAAAATAATAAAAATTAAAATTAAAGGTCGTTATTTATTCAAACTTCGCATTTATAAACATACCACATCATATTGTACATAATATTCTGATAAAATAGTTATCCAAGAAATCTTAGGATTTTAATCATGTTTTTTCAATAAGAAATTATCCTAAATTAAAGGAATTGAGCCTTTGCCACAAACTCTGATTTTCTATTCCCTATAATTTTGCAACCCAGTGTCGTAGAGCTTAGATATTTCAAACTATGAATTATGTTAGATCAATTAATCTAAGTTTGAAATACCAAAGGTTAACACTTGCAAAAACATAGAGATTATGAAAGTAGAGTTTGTTGCAAAGATTTAATTCCTTTATCAATTGAATGGCGTCAACATATCTGCGTTCCTTTCTATTTTTTTAGCATTAAGGTTGTTTTCTTTAACGAATACGATTTGCATAGCAGAATATAGATCCGGGAAAACTAGACACTTCTAAAATTCCATATAATAATTTTTTAAGATCATTCATGCTTTGTACATTTGAATTTAAATCTGTATTCAATTATGTTTATAACATAACATTTATATTCATATTTTACGATTATAATTATATTTAAAGAAAAACATATTAATTACGTTATAATGGGTTTATGTTTCAAATGATTGTAAAAATGTCATCTATTATTCTTTAACTGAAAACCAATTGAAATAAGCTTGAATCATTTGATGGATTCAATTAATTTTTTTAAAAGTAGTTTTCCACTCCGCTAGTTTTCTTTCTAGAAGAAAATAAGGTTGAACTCGTGTTCCTCCTGCTTCCTTTATCATTGGAGAATTCAACCTGATCATCTGATTTCTCAGGTCTGAGGAAGACTGATTTGAAGCTGGTTTTTCTCTCCCCTGCAACTGGAGCAGGTTCTCCAGTAATCTTTAACCTTACAGTCATGGGTTCAGGTTTCAGTGTTAGAACTGGAGTTCTTTCAGATTGGGATTGTTTCTCAGGGACGGAGAACTTGCTATTTTCGAGTTGACGCGTAGAATGGAAAATTTTCTCAGGTTTAAGAGTTTTCTCGGGTTTTAACGGCGAGGATTCAAGGTTGAAGAGAAGTGTTTGCTTGAGTTTAAGAGTAGACTGATCATTTATCGGAGTTGATTGATCATGGTTCGGAGCAGATTGATCATGGTTCGAAGTAGATTGTTCATGCTTCGAAGTAGATTGATCATGGTTCGAAGTAAATTGCTCATTTTTCGGAGTAGACTGATCATGGTTCGGAGTAGATTTTTCTGTGGGGCCAGTTGAGTACCTTTGTTTCATGCCTGTTTTCTCGGCTTTCAGAACTAATTTTACGGGTTTTACTGTGGTTTCCTCAGGTTTCAGTGTAGATAGTTCAGGTTTCAGTGTAGATAGTTCAGGTTTCAGTGTAGATAGGTCAGGTATGGAAGTAGTTTGCTCAGGACTGAGTACAGGTTGTTCAGATCTGAGTAAAGATTGCTCAGGTCTAAGTATATATTGCTCAGGTCTGTGTACAGTTTGCTCAGGTTTTAGTACAGTTTGCTCTGGTTTAAGTATATATTGCTCAGGTCCGAGTACACTTTGCTCAAGTATAAGTTCAGTTTGCTCAGGCCTGAGCACAGATTGCTCCTTTTTGAGTGCAGATTGTTTAGTTGAAGACTTGGGTTTAAGAGTCAGTTGCTCGGCATCAGGGGTGGTCGAATACTTGGATACTGGGATCGATTGCTCGGGATAAGGGATCGAATACTCAGACGTCGGGGTTGATTGTTCCTTGGTTTTATCTGTTCCACATTCAGAAACTGTCTCTGCAAGCAATGAATAAAAATTGTTTTAATAAGAGCTGGTTGTGCAAGAATTCATATTGGTTGAGATAATTAAATAATTCTATCTGAACCTGATCCAGAATGGGACGGATTTGGTCTAAGGAATCCAAGTAATTCCAAGAGAATATTTGAGGCAAGGTTTCGTTGAATATTGACAACCTGGAGAACCAAGTGGATAAACCTAAACAAAATAAAGATTGGGAAGGAATCCTTTTTCAGTTTCCGAGTTTCATAAAAACTAACCACCCTGAAAGGATTCCTAAGTAAACTTTTAGCTCCTAAACAATCCGTACTGAAAGCTATGAAAACGAAAGAATAGTTCTAGAAAATAAAAGAACTATAAACTTTAGAAGACAAGTTTTACTGGAATATATTCTCGTCAAACTTATCTAAAATTCATTAAGTTTGTTTATATCGTGAGAAATTCGTGAACTATCGGTGATTTCATGATATTGAAAAAATGCAAAATTTTGGATTGTTGATTAAACATTCAAGGTAAATCCTCACATTCCTGTAAACCGTTTCATAAAGTGTTTCAATAAAAGAACAAGCTAATCGGCTCTAGCGTTGAGATTTTATAAAAGCACAACTTTCAAAATATCCCAAATCTAGATATTTTCTGATTTTTTTTCTACCTGAAAGGTGAAGACTCTTCCCCTGAGGTTCTAAAAAAGTTTTGAAAGAATAAAATTTAAGTTTTGGTTGATAAAATAAAGTATAATAATTATGCACAGATTCATGGTAAGTGTGCTAGAACGATGGAAAAGGAAAAATAAAGAAATCATGACTTTAAAGCTAAAACTATAATATAAAAAATACCTGAAATCTAGGAAAACAATCTTTGTTTTCTCCGCTGTTTCAACCACAGTAGCGAGAGTATACTGAAGACCGGCGTAAACCCGTTTTGTATAGACATTTGCTCCATTCCAGATCTCCCCCTTGGGATCTTGAACAAACTCAGAAATCTGTTCCAAAACACCCATAACTCGGTTCAGTGTTGATTCCGAAACTCCGTTCAAGACATTGCTACTTCGTTCCAGAACAAGTCCTCCAGTTACTTTAGCTCCACTCCAGACAAGTTCTCCCGATCTAACTACTCCGTAAAAGACTACCTCTCCGGACTTTTTGACTCCAAAAATGAGAGTATCTCTTGAATTTACTGCTGTATCAACTGCCCTGGAGAGAGATTCTCGGAGTTTTTGAGGAATAGGGTTCGAACCTTGTCTAGCCAGGTTTAGGGACTCAGTAATTAGATTGTAGGATTCCAGGACCATCCCGGATATCTGGGAAGAGAAGATTTAAAGAAAATTGTAAAACATTTTAAACTTCGGAGATATAGTTGTAATTTTAAGTGACCCACCATTTAGAAAGGCATACCACGGAACCACAAATACAAATAATCAGTTTTTAACAAAAAACATGGATATATAATTCATTCTTGATCAGACTTAGCTTTTTAGGGTCCAGAGGAGAATCTGATGCACAATTATTTCAATGGAGGGTCACTTGAAATTGTGTTTACAGTCCCTTTAAAACTATTTTTTTGAAATCCATATCTTAATAAAAAAAACTTTAAAATTACTTAAATATGTTGAATGAATTTTATTGAAAGAGAGGAGAAACTGTCAGTTTATTGTCAAATTCGACTTGTTAAAAACTGTTTGTTTTTAGCTAAAAAATGCAAATGGGTTTAGTCTAAACCTGATAAATATATGAATCAACGGGATCTATCTGTTCGTGAAAAGAGAATTCAAATTAATCTGTCCTTCACTGCTCGACAAAATCTCCAACCTTCGCTGCCCAGAAGGCAGCAGGCAGTACAGAGTTATTAGAAAAACTATATTAAAGGACAGATCATATCAAATTCACTTTTTTATATTTATAAAATAACTTCATTTTATACCTAGCCCCCCCCCCTATTCATTTTTCGAACACTACCTTTAAATAGCAACAAAAAGCCCGTTTTGAATCGAATTCAATATTCATCAAATGTTTCAAAAATTTTTAAATCATTAATTTCAAACAATTCAAATCATTTTTTTTAAATAATATAAATTAAATACTGATTCTTTTTTCCAATTAACATTAGAATTGAATCAACATTTATTTTTGATAAATATTTGATAATTTACAGTGAAAAGCTTTAACAAATGTATGAAATTGCGTTGACTGTGGTTTGTCTTGTGCAATCGTATCTGAACCATGAGTACTGTATCGTATCATGTTAAACACAGTATAAATAGGGTACGGAGTTCGTTCCTCATCAAATTAGAAAGATCAAATTTTAGCAGGAATAGTTATACTGGAAAGTGTAAAAAATATGTTGTTAATATAGGAAAACGGATTTGTTGAAGTTATTTGATTTTGAAAAATATTCAGAGATGCAAACTTTTTAACTCCTTTACTTAAAAGTAATTAGCTCTGAAAGCATTTTAAGATGATTAGCTAAAAACAAGGAGAAGACATTTTTCCTGCTGATCTTTTTTACTTCTTTTAATTCATTTGAATACTTCCAAATTTCTTTGCAACCCAATATTGAATTCTGCGAACAAACAGAAGGAGTATAAAAGGTATAAAAAAGAAAGACTAAATTCCCTTTTCAAGTATTCAATTACTCCAAAAAACAGATTTTAATATTAAACATTGTTTCTTTGAAAAAGTTGATTTCATTTAAAAATATAAATTTTAAGAAATGTTAATACATTGAAGACGATATTCTAGCTTCTTAGTTTGGATATCACTGTATACTTACAATTTTGGTTGGCCAGCTAGTTATACGAGTTACGTAGTCCATGGTTAAGATCTTACTAGATCAGATTTCAGACCTTGTAAGAAGGGATATGTTTGAAATCGTACCATACTATTCAATCTTTAAACGATTATTCAATACGTGTCAACAAAATCCCTGATATTATAATTAAACTTTAGATTATTCGCAATTTTCATTAAAAAACATTTTCACTGATTTTTTAATACTTCAATCAAGGGTTATGCCAAGATTTTACAACATCAACATGAAAAATCCCGGTCAAAAATCCAGCAAATTCATCAAGGTTAGAGACACCTTCCTCACACATGAAAATAAAGAAATTTTAAAAATTTCGATTTTTGGGAAAAAAAATAGTTGAAACTTTTCAGAAATAATGTTTGAAAAAACAAATTATATCAAATTTAGAGAAGTCACGTGGAGCTAAAGTAAATTGCACTTAAGATCAGATTATTATATGTTTGTATTAAAAAGTTTTCGACCTACTTATTACTCCCAGTTCTTTAGTTTAACCTATTTTCAAAAGCTTAGGTTAAGTAGTTTTCAAGAAAATGATTTATATTGGCATAAGTCTGCATTCATGAGAACTAAAATGTTGTCCAAAAACAATTCATTATTTTTCTCAATTTCATTGATTTTTGTAATAAAAAGTTTTTGACCTACTTATTACTCCCAGTTCTTTAGTTTAACCTATTCTCAAAAGTTTTTGACCTATTAATAACTAATCTAATTGAAGAGATATTGTGAAAAACAAAAATGTTTAAAAGGAATTGAGTCTTTGTCACAAACTCTGATTTTCTAATCCCCATATCTTTCCAACACATTGTCGTAGACTCTAGATATTTCAAACTATTGATTCTGTTAGATCAAATAATCTAAGTTTGAAATACCAAAGGTTTACACGATTAGGTTGCAATGATATAAGGGTGAGACAATTTTAGACTGTGGCAAAGACTCAAAGACATAAATCTAATCTAGAGGAGTTACAAGGTCACAAAGTCGTAGCAGTAATTATCCTATTACTCTATCTCATTCGGTCTAGTTCACAGTGGAGTAGTGTGCAAAATCCTGAGCTATTTTTAAAAGTTCAATAAGAGTGTTATTTTAGTCTATAGGTATACCCACTTGATAGAGAATAAAATATATAGAGAGGAATTTACTAGAAAAAAGTGTAAAACGGCCATTTTGTTGTACTGTTTCCATACTGCAGGTGTACTTCACATATTTATGCTATATAACCTGGTGGGCCCTGGAATATCATTTTATTGAAAATCTAAAATTATTGTTAAAAGAAAACCAAATTATGAAATAGGCTGGTTTCATGATTGACCAATGATCATTTCACATAGACTCTATGCCTTCCACTTTACAAACGATGATTTTCCGTTATAACTATAAATCAAATGATGTTTTTATTCATCTAATTCATTATAAAGTTTATTTAACAGTTTAAAATATTCGAAATTGAAATGGATAGTCTAGAGAACATACTGTATTAATGTACTCTACTGCATATAATTTGTGAACATTTACATGATTTGTACACTTTGAACTCTCTATATATTCTATTCTCTATGACCCACTTGCAACGATTGAATATTATTATTATAAAATTTCACCAAGTTTCAATATTTCTTGTTTAGCAAGGGAGGTTAAACTTGAGGAATTGATGAGTCTCCAGGGTGTAGGTTTATGATTTATCTTTTAACCTTAGGCATCTATTCAATATTCATTATACAGACTTCTCGATTTTATACAATTTATTATTTACATATTTATCCGTCTTAGTGTTCTCATCTTTAAAGGAACAGAAGACTTAGTATCTAATTTTACCCCAGTGCGTATTCATTTTATGTGATTTCAACGAAACAAACTTGAAAACCACCAAAGTAACAATTTTACACATCCGATCTAGATTGGAGTTGAGTCTTTGCATTAAACTAAAATTTCCTAATCCCCATATCTTTGCAAACTAATGATGTAAACCTTTTATTAATTAAACTTAGATTATTTGATCTAACAGAATTTATAGTTTGATATATAAATCTTTTTTAGTGCAGTCTGCCAACATACATTGAAAATTGTTAAACTGGTTTTTAGGTCCTCGGCTCTAAATTTCAAAACAAAAATAATAACGGCAGTTTAACTAGCCTCCTGATATTGCCTTTTCACACATAAATAGGTTTTCTACGGCTTGAGAAAATAATAGTTCAAACTCGGAAATATATCAAAAAGGCAAAGTTTGAAATAAAAGTTTTGCACCATCAGGTTTCAAAGATTTTGAGAGCAGAAAAAGAATAGAATTTGTGGTGTGTAATTAGTTACTTTGTGCTGACCCGTAGCTATTATTAAAAGGGTAAAAATTAATAACTTAAAGATTTTAACTAGTTTTCTAACTTATCACACATTAAAGTTTAATATCTATTTTGCATTAGGTTTTCTTTCCTCTAAGAGCTATTGAGAAGCTTTTGCATCAAAAATGGAGGTATATAATTAGATGTCATAATCATTCTGATACATTATTTAACTGACTCTTATCATTTGAATTTAACCATAAAAAATGTATTACTGTATTACTGCCCTAACGTGGTCCGATTCTTAAAAAATTGTTTTATCTTGGAGGACTAGACACTTTTAAAAAATAAAATAGGAAGGACAAGAATTTAGAGGTGGCTCGTAAGAGAAAATGAGGAGAATTTGGCTCGGACTTGAAATTGTTGTGATTGGCCTTCCTCCCCTCATTGAGCCGTATTCTGCACTAAACCCAATCAGGGTCGGTTTTATTTTCATTGGGCCTAACTCCTTAAGTCGAGCCGAAGATCTTGCAGCTGTCAATCAAGTGACATAAGCTGTCGTTAGAGTTAGGTCGACGCGAAGATTGGGTCTTAAAGTCGGGTTTAAGGAATTAAGGTTTTAAATCGCGTGGTCAGAAAGCACTAAATTTTTCTTTAATTTGAAGAAAAAATAATCCTTAACAAATAATATTGATAACACATATTAGAATTTTTGCCAATTTTCTCCCCTTTTTTTCTTCTTTCTTTTATTTTTTGTTTTGAGTTTTCGAATCCAACTCTGTGATGAATCGTTAAATCTTATAGTTGACGGAGTTATCTTTGGATTTAAAGAGAATCACAGAGTTATTAAAACATGAAATAATTTGTATGCAGAAATAAAATGGCAAATTAATCTGTGTTTTACTTGATCAGATTTAAATATATAGATATATATAAAGATTGGGTGTGGGGAAATCAAATCTTATAGAAATCCAACGTATAGAAACCGCTATGTACAGCAACAAGGCGTATTTTCCGGGAGAACATTTTTTATATTTTTGAGAAATTAAATAATCAGTGTAAAGTAGACATAATTTTCATAAAATCCTTTTATTTAAATGGTAAAACGGAATTTTATGAAATCATATTAGCATTACTGAAGAACTTATTTTTATACTTTTAAGAAATTATTTTTTCTAAAAATAAAACTGTAGATAGCATTTTTATTAAATTTTTTTTTTTTATAGTAACACGCAATTTTATGTATAACCATATAATCATTCATTTATGTTGTCAGTACATAATAAAATCTGGGGGACCTTAAACACAATAGAGAGCAGTACTAATGTACATATTAAACTATTTTGCTCCTTTAATGTCTAGGGTATGTAAAAATAAATAGAAGTTATGATAATGATAATGATAAGGTACAATGTTTTACAAAAACGTTTAATTAAAAATGTTCTCCCGGAAAATACGCCTTGTTCCTATACGTTGGATTTCTTTAAGGTTTGACTTCATTTTTTTATGTTCCATGAGGTTCTAACGATGCAACTAATATTAAGACGAATTTACGCAGGAAAAATGCGGGGTTTCTAAGAATGATCTTTTGCTAAAATCAAATTTATTTAAAGACATTCGTATTATTTAGGAGTAGAAATTATTTCTTAGCTGTTATCAAACTGTTTTTAGATTAGAATATATTATAAAAGTTAAAACAGAGATCAAAACCTTTGTGTTGATATAGCGATAAACTATAACGCTTGATCTCGATAGACAATAGTGCAACTTTTAGGAATATTGATCCCTTGATCCCTTGATCCCTTGAGGAAATATCTAAAAGTAATTAATATGTTCCTTCAGGCATCAGCTTAACGGATAACTGATTGATCCTCGGATTAAGAACACAAAAGTTTTGATCTCAGGTTGTACATAAAAAGTTCAAAGTGCATCAGGCCAGCTTGCTGTTGTATCTGTTCTTTAGTTTGCTGTTGTATCCGTTTTCAGTTTGCTGTTGTATCTGTTTTTTTGCTGTTGGATCTGTTTTTTTTGCTGTTGTATATTTTGTTTAATTTACTGTTGTATCCATTTTTAGTTTAATGTTGCATCTGTTTTTTTGCTGTTGTATCTGTTGTTACATTGCTGTTGAATCTATTGTTATATTGGTGTTGTATCTGTTGTTATGTTGCTGTTGTATATCTTGCTATACTTCTGTTGTTTAGTTTGCTGTTGTATCGGTTGTTATATTGCTGTTGTATGTGTGGTTATATTGCTATTGTATGTGTGGTTATATTGCTGTTGTATTTTTCTTTAGTTTACTGTAGTGTCTGTTGTTATATTGCTGTTGTATCTGTTGTTATATTGCTGCTGCATCTGTTGTTACATTGCTGTTGTATATTGCTGTTGTATATTGCTGTTGAATCTGTTGTTATATTGCTGTTGTATCTGTTGTTATATTGCTGTTGTATATGTTGTTTAGCTTGCTGTTGTATCTATTGTTATATTGCTGTTGTATCTGTTGTTTAGTATGCTGTTGTTTATTGCTGTTGCATCTGTTGCTATATTGCTGCAGTATCTGTTGTTATATTACTGTTGTATCTCTTGATACTGGAACTGGAGTTTCATATAATATTGTAGTTGTTGTTAAAGTTATATTTTTAGTTGTAACTAATGTTGTAATTGTAGATTCATTAGTTGTTATTGGAAGTGGAGTTTCATTTAATATTGTAGTTGTAGTTGAAGATTTAGGTCCAACAGTTGTTGTAGGGCTTAGAGATTCTTGCAGGGCAGATGTTGTTGAAGTTTTCATGAGAATCGGCGTTTCATACGTGATCATTGTTGTTGTAGTGTTGGGGTCTTTGGTAGTAAAAGAATCAGGAGATTGAGACTGAGGTTCAGAGGTCGGAGGTTGGGTTTCAGCAGAGGAAGGTTGGGGTTCAGAGGAAGAAGGTTGAGGTTCAGAGGAGGTAGGTTGAGGTTCAGAGGAGGAAGGCTGACGTTCAGAGAAGAAAGGTTGGGGATCAGAGGATGTAGGTTGGGGTTTAGTGGAGGTAGGTTCTGGTTCAGAGGAGGAAGGTTGGGGGTCAGTTGAAGAAAATTGAGGTTCAGTGGAGGAAGGTTGAGAATCGGAGGAAGAAGGTTGGGGTTCAGAGGAGAAAGGTTGGGGTTCAGAGGAAGAAGGTTGAGATTCAGTGGAGGAAGGTTGGGAATCGGGGGAAGAAGGTTGGGGTTCAGTGGAGGAAGGTTGGGGTTCAGTTGAAGATAATTGAGGTTCAGTGAAGGAAGGATGAGGTTGAGAGGAGAAAGGTTGGGGTTCAGAGGAGGAAGATTGGGGTTCAGAGGAAGAAAGTTGAGGTTCGGTGGAAGAAGGTTGAGGTTCAGATGAGGAAGGTTTAGGTTCAGAGGAGGAAGGTTGGGGTTCAGAGGAGGTAGGTTGAGGTTTAGTTGATAAAAGTTGAGGTACAGTTGAAGAAGGTTGAGGTTCAATGGATGAAGGTTGGGGTTCATTTGGGGTTGAGAAGAAATGGGTTGAGGTTGGGTTGACGACGATGTGATCATGGTGGTTTGAGAGCAACCAGTTTGCTCCTGGTACTCCACACCACTGGAACAGATACAGGACGCAACACCGGAGCTAGTAGAACAGGTTGATGGAGATAAACAGCAAAGTTCCCCGGAGCAAAGTGATGTTTCTAAAAATATAATTTTTATAAACTCTGGTGGTTAAAAAACAGCACAAAAAGTTTTTATCGAAACAAAAATATTTAAAATTCGTCAAATATGTTATTTTCTGAGACTTAAAATATTGATAACGGATTAAAAATTCTTTGAGATACATTTTCTAGATTAAAGTTAAACCTGCGTATTGAATGAGTTCTAGGTTCTGTATGCAAGGCTGGAGGTTGAAGAGAAGGCTGTATCCCCGGAAGAACGGGAAGAATCCTGCCTGCATTATCTGCTGGAACGGGTTGGAGAGAATTCTGTTGAGAAGATACAGGACGGTTCTGAGAATATTCACCACTCTTTTATATTCTGTGCAGAAATAATTCTAAATAACCAGATAGATATCGAAAAAATACGTTTTAGAATTACGCAAAATCCTTACTTACTCCAGGTTAATATTCGTCTAATCCCTATTTTTTTCAAGTTGCAAGTTTTTCCTAGTTGATTTTAGATTACTTGCTAATAGTTTATTGTTTGCTTACTAACGGGAGTATTTGTGAGAAATGGATTGGTTATCGGATAAATGAACATTTTTTGTTCCGTCTTGAGATTTTGAATTACTATGAAAAAAATTAAAATTCTTAATTTTCCTTGAAAATCTAGACATTGAGACAAAGATCTTTCACTGAAACATTCAACGGAAATATAATTACCACCAATTGACGGCAAATAAGATTTAGATTCATTCTGCCGCTTTTTTTTAAGGTTCTGTTGATTTAGAAACTATCCTAGAGATGAAAACACTGAACTGAGAATGGATTGGAGCTGAGAGCAGGACGGATCGGAGCTGAGCAGTTTCTTCAAGGCATCAAGGATAGAACAAGTCATGTTATTTTTCAAAATATTTCTAAGCTCCCTGTTAAGGATACAATTAAAGATTATAATTAAAATCCCTAAAATATATGTATATTTTGGTGACGGTAATTATACAATATTAACGACTTGAGAATTTTAAATTGTGTTTAAATAGGCAATAAAAGAAGAATCAAGGAAAATGGGGGAACCAAAGATTTTATTTAAAAATAAAAAGTAATCTGGAAAAAAATTGATAAAAAATGTCAAAGTATAAAAGTTAACAGATTTTTATTTAGAGATTTACTTACTTTACAAATTTGAAAAATTGTCGGATGTATGTTTTCAGTTGTTTCGCTGTGTCTCTTTTAAGTCTGAAAGTATAAGGAAAAAATTAACTGACACCAGTTTTTCAGAAATGATTTATATGTTGAATATATCTGATTTGATTTTAAATCTCTAATTATTTAAGTTTTGATAATATAGATATATATACTTACATACATAACAAATCACCCATTAGAATGAAATTGATCAACGTACAAAGATACAATTTACAATTAAATATATTAACATTTAATCATACAAGTTTTTTTACCTATTTTTCCTACTAGAGAGGGTAGTGAGAGGAGGATAAACAATTCCTTAATAATTTAATTTTTGATTTTACAAGAATTGCAGAAAAAGTGGAAACGTTGAGTGTAAATATCTTTTTAATAGAATAAGGTTCTGCATTTTTGCCGCGTGGAACAAAGACGAGTTCATTTAAATTATATTTGGGAATAACCTGCAACACTCAAAGCTTGAATAAAGGTTTGAACTTCTTTAGTATTGTTGCCTAGACCAGAGATAACGGTTTCAATTGCAGTTTGATCCGACCCTACAGCTGACACAAGTAGCTGGAGAGTGGTTTCATTATTTATAAGACCAGCAACAAACTCTTCAGTTGTACTGGTACCTGGATCCTAATATCAGATTATGTTTAAATAAAGATATCAGAGCTAAACTACACTTACCAAATCAGAGCTATGCAATAAACATGGACCCATCAAGACAATGTTAATGAACTATGATCATTGAATGTACAGACCTCGGCTAAAATATCACTAAGAGCATCTATTGCAGATGTGTTTAGAAATGTAGCATCGAACAAAGACGATGGGTCAGTAAGATTGGTCAGTCCATCTCCCAATACAGTGCTCTGAAAGTATAAAACAAATATTTTTTTAAAAATCTTAAATTAATTTCTTATCTTAATTTTTCTTTTTTTACTCTTAAAATCCTTGCTACCTGGTTACTAGAGCTGAAGCAGGCCGTGAGGGTGGAGGAACTGTTGAACAGATCAACTCCTGTACTGTTAAAACCATCAGGACAGGAGCAGGAGTAGGAGCTAGTATCTGAAGGAGCACACACAGCTTCAGGATGACAGGGAAAACTTGTTAGACAGGGGGATTCATCTTTATATTCATCCTTATATAAAATTATCTTTTAACTCAAAGCTTTCTGTTTCTGTGATTCCCAGGAAGTTGCGGGAGAGGATTGTGAATTGAGAAAAGAAATTAAGTTTTTGCCACAAATATAAAATGTCTGATACCTTTATCTTTGCAACAGACGGTTTAAACCTTTTATATTTCAAATTTACATTATTTGATCCAACATAATTTATAGTTACAGCATTGAGTTGCCAAGATATTGGGATTATAAAATCAGAGTTTTATGACTAAAAGAAGTTCGTAGTAAGATTTTGATTCTACTGTAGACAACCGGAGGGATTTAATTTTCACTGGAGGGGTTTGAAAAAATGCTTTTTACATTTTAAAACTTTACGCAGGGTGATTTATATTCCACTGGAGGGTATCAGATATCTTTACAGGGGGGTTATAATTCCAGTGAAAATGAATTCCCTCCGGTGGTCTCCAGTGGAGTCAAAACTTTACTACGAACTTCTGTGACTCGTTTTATGCAAAGACTCAATTCCTTAACAAAACTTTGAGCAATGCAAGGATAAATCTTAGATGAAACATATTTAGGAATACATTACTCCGAGATGTATTGGTCAACTACGAATAAAACTACTATGATTTGAAAATATTGACATCTATAGAAACAGATCTCATGAAAAGTTTCATTTAAAATAAAGGATAAGTATACATCAGGCACATAAAAAGTGACTAGATGCAGTTTCTAGGCGAGCAACTAAAAATAGGTTTACAAACTTTTCCATTCATTTATAAAAACTCAAATTTAATGGTAAGGATGTATCCCTGTAGCTGTAGTAAAAGATATTTCTGTGGTGATTTCAGAGATTACTGGTTCTGAAACTGATGCTGCATCAGTAGCTGACGTTTTAGAAGCTGCCACTGTAGACTGAGTTTCAGAAGCTGCTTCTGGAGACTGAGTTTCAGAGACTGCTTCTGGAGACTGAGTTTCAGAAGCTGCTTCTGGAGACTGAGTTTCAGAAGCTGCTGCCGTAGAATGAGTTTCAGAAGCTGATGCAGCTTTAGTTGTTGCTATATCTTCAGTTGTTGCTGCAGCTTCAGTAGCTTCACCTTTTCCACTACAATCTGGGGATTGGTCGCAAGTTGAAAAAAGTACGGAGTTAAATGTCAGATTAAATCCGAGCTCTACGCCGTACTGAAGAAGATTTTTTTATATTGAACATATGTAAAAACCACGTGGTTTTTAACATAAATTTTTCATCAAAATTTAATTTCGATAAACTTAAGCCTGAAAAAATCTTTCCTTGTGTCTAACTAAATAACTAATTTCAAGACACTGACAAGCATATAGCCTAATATTATCAAATATTCAACATTATTGAAAAGGTTTCATCTTAAATTATTTATCAATATTGATTTAATGTCAAGTTGATTTGCTGTATTGAGGAAATAAATATTTGAAGATTTCCTTCCGTTGTAACAATTGTTTGTGATGGAGAAAGTATTGTCGGAGATTTGAGAAACATCTCCTTTCCAGGCCTGAGATATGTAAACAGTTTAGTTGTCAAATAAACACATTTGAAAATATAATATTAATAAATAATGTATACAGGGCGAGAAAAAAAACCGGGATTAGAGTTTGTTTTACACAACACCAAAAAATAAGGTTTATGTTTTAGGATGAAAATTTAATATGAAGTGAAGGTAGGCAAAAAAATTTGGGTACAGTGATAACTAGAAAACTCTGGAATAGGAAGTCGACTTTTGGACTCAAGTTCAGACTTTTCATAGTCCAACGAACACGAGGCACAGCAATTGTGCAGTGTAAACAGACCCATACCACTTATTAAGTGATTTAATAACTTATTAGAAAGCTTTTTGTTTTGTAACAACATCAAATGAACTTTAGTATTGATTTAATGTCGTCTTCCTATTCTATAGTTTTCTGGTTATCACTGTACATGAGAAAAAAAATCCGTGAAACTATTTTTTGGTAAAAAATATATTTCCTTCGGAAATCTTTTCTAAAATGCATAATGTTTATTATTTGGTCTATTCTGTTCCAAAGTTTGATGAAAATCTATTAATGAATTACATAGTTGTTACATAAATACAAAACTTACAAAAGTGGAAAATGGAATTTTCTAGTACAACAAATTGTTATTAAAAATGTTAGCCAAAAACTATGTTGTGTGAAACAACATTATCCCGTCTTTTTGACTCAACCTGTATAATGTGAATGCATAATACAGCCTGAAAAATAACTTATTTATATAAATAGATATGGACAGATAAATAAGAAAGAAAGTAGAAAAAAGGAGTAGGTTTAAAAAGAGTAGGGTTGGATAACGGAGTAGGCTTGAATGAAGAAGTAGGGTTGGATAAAGAAATAGGGTTAGATAATGGAGTAGGTTAGGATAAAGGTGTAGGCTTGGATAAAGGAGTAGGGTTTGATTAAAGAGTAGGTTATGTTAAAGAGTAGGGTTAAAAAAGAAGTAGGTTTGGATAAAGGAGTAGGTTTGAATGAAGAACTAGGGTTGGATAAAGAAATAGGGTTAGATAAAGGAGTAGGCTTGGATAAATAAGTAGGGTTAGATAAAAGAGTAGGTAAGGTTAAAGAGTAGGGTTAAAAAAGAAGTAGGTTTTGATAAAGAAGTAGGTTTGGATCAAAAAGTAGGGTGGGATAAAAGAGTAGGGCTAGATAAAGAAGTAGGGTTGGATAAGGGAGCAGGGTTGAACAAAGGAGTAGAGTTGGATAAAGTCGGGTTGGATAAAGGAGCAGGGTTGGATAAAGGAGTAGGGTTGGATAAAGTCGGGTTGGATAAAGTAGCAGGGTTGGATAAAGGAGTAGGGTTGGATAAAGGAGTAGGGTTGGATAAAGGAGAAGGGTTGCATAAAGGAATAGGGTTGGATAAAAGAGAAGGGTTAGATAAAGGAATAGGTTTGGATAAAAGAAAAGGGTTGGATAAAGGAGTAGAATTGGATAAAGTCGGGTTGGATAAAGGAGAAGGGTTGGATAAATGAGTAGGGTTGGATAAAGGAGTAGGGTTGGATAAAGGAATAGGTTTTGATGGAAGAGAAGGGTTGGATAAAAGAGAAGGGTTGGATAAAAGAGAAGGGTTGGATAAAAGAGAAGGGTTGGATAAAGGAGTAGAGTTGGATAAAAGAGTAGGGTTGGATGAATTGAAGGAGAAGGGCTTGACAACAGAGTTAAAGTTGGATCAAGGTTAGATAAAAGCAAGACCTGTAATTCTAAATCTGTTCCATCGAACTCTAAAGTTATGTTCCATGAGTCCATGTTCTCAGGAACAGGAATACTGAAGCGAATATTCAATCCAGATACAGGTTGTACATTCAAATAATATGATAAAATAGCTTGGAAACCCAGCTTTTTCTGGAAACTAAGATATCTGTATAGGAGTCAACCTATTTAACTTAGACCTTTACAACCAAGCTAAGAACATTTCCGTGGTTCGACCGAGTTCCTCAGTCAAAATTTGAGACAAATCGGTTAACGGGTTTCTGAGTTATGATCAGACAAACAAACAGAAAAACAGAGACTACAACTTTATATACATATATAGATAGATAGTCATGAATAAACCTAAACCCATATCCAGTATGAAGCGGAATCAAATCATCTGTGTTTATGCTTTTAATCTTTATATTAAAGCTCTTCGTTCATAAATATATATGTATATGTTATCTATAGCAGGCCAAAATTCTGGCTGAATTTTTTTCAGGGAATCCATGGGTACCCTAGGGTTGACATAAGCTAAAAAAATATTTTTTTTCAGTCAAAATTTCAAATTAAAAAAAGAAGATTTTTGATTTTTTTATCGTAAGATGATATACCTCTAAAAATGGTAAATTTTCAGAGATGACAGATACAAACTACAAAATTGTTAGCAACACGCTTATGCCTCAAAATGAAAAAACGGATAAAATTGGATGCATGTTATCTGTTAAGCATGCCGGATGCAAGCTTGCTCTCAAAATGACATGTTATTATTCAAAATATGCACTTTTTTGAGTCAGAAATTCATTTATAGGGTTAAAAATAAAACACAATGATGTATTTACTAAAGGGAAGCATGAAACAAATTATTAAATTTTTTTATGAATTTCTTGTGAACATGATCCTGTATCCGGGCCTTTTTTATCTATAGTTTATGTATATTTTACAATTGAACGAGTATTTGGCAAAATTATGACACATTTTTGCATCCGAATGTGCAAATTCAAGTTCATAATAAGACTAAAATTGAATCAAAATAAACCTGATTAAACTTCGTTTCCCGCTAGACCAGCTGTTCAGGACGTTTTCCCAGTAGCATTCATCCGCTACTGTTAAACAAACCACCAAGAGAACCTGAAATTCAAGGTTCGATTTATCCATCATCAGAACTTCATCAGATGTAAAATTGGTGTTATACGACGTAACTATTAAACATACGACTACATACAAATAGAATTTCGCGTTCTATGATTAATTTCAAGGAAGTAAGTTTGTTTGCCTGGGACTGAACCAAGAGGAGTGTCTAGGACGTATCTTTATTTAATACTATAGCTGGAGAAACCCGGTGTTGGCTAGGTTTATAAAATTACTCACAGTTATCTCCCGCCGTCTGCACCCGCGCTTGGTATTTAATCATAATCTAAGCTGAAGTGCCCGGTGCCCTAACTTTGGTATTTTTACCCCCGGGAAGCCAAAATGTTCCCTCAAAAAAATTCAGTAAATTTTGTCCTGCTGTTTGGCCAGCTATAGCTAACATACATAATGTATATATGAGCGAAGATACTTATTATATACTTAGATAGTAATGAGTTAAGATCTAAGACTATTGAATTGTGTTATGTAACTTTGCTTAAGTTGTCTTACCGAAAAACTGGAGTTAAAACACAATCTTTTTACCATAATGATTCATATAATCGTCGGAAGTACTTTAAGTTTTAGAAATGTTTGTCTGTTCGGTAAGGGGACGTAACGTAAGGTTCTTGTATTACAGAAACCAAAAGGGATTTATTACGTTAAATGAGAATTCTAATCACAATTTTTATTCTTATCTCTAAAATGAGATTTTTCTCCGACCTGAACCCAGAACAGTAGAAACCTCATCCTTCCGTCTGTACAGTCCAATCAGGAATAGTTTCTATTGAATATTAATTACGCGTTGAATATAAATTTCATTGTTATATATTTAACCAATTTCTACTGTAACAGCTTTTCACGGATTCACCCCAATCTTATAAAATCTATCATTGTCAAATCTAGTCATAAAAAACATTTGTTTTAATTTCTTACTTATGGTTTGGGGAAAAAATCTTTAATTTTAGAACATTAAGGCCCCATGGTTGCTGGGTTAAGTATTGAAAACAAACAATGAATGGTTAAAAATTGAAAAAACACTTGAAAGTTCTTAACAATTTTTTTACAAAACACATGTAATAAAACCTTTAGACTCAAAAGAGAAATATTTAATTCCTGCTTTATGTATATACATAAAAAAAATAGTTGAAATATCGGCAAGTCAAAATTATGTAAAAAATACTTATGCAGTCAGAATATTAAAGAAGGCAGTCCTATATATATAAATAAAGCTAGTCACCATAAATTTACATGAAGTAAGATAAACATACATGAAGGTATTTTTGATAAACATCCATGAAAATAGTCTCAATAAACATACATGAAGGTAGTCTCAATAAACATATATGAAGGTAGTCGTAATAAACATATATGAAGGTAGTCTTAATAAACATACATGAAGGTAGACTTAATAAACATACATGAAGGTAATCTTAATAAACATACATGAAGGTAGTCTTAATAAACATACATGAAGGTAGTCTTAATAAACATACATGAAGGTAGTCTTAATAAACATACATGAAGGTAGTCTTAATAAACATACATGAAGGCATGAAGGTAGTCTTAATAAACATATATGAGGGTAGTCGTAATATACATACATGAAGGCATGAAGGTAGTCTTAATAAACATATATGAGGGTAGTCGTAATATACATACATGAAGGTAGTCTCCAAAGACATACATGAAGGTAGTCTTAATAAACATACATGAAGGTAATCCCAATAAACAAACAGTGAGAACCAGAAAACTGTGGAATAGAAAGACGGCATTAAGGCAAAATTAAAAGTGTATTTGAGATGTTAAAGGAAAACAGTTTTAGTAGTAACTTAAATATCAATTATAAAGTAAAACGGTCTGTGCGCACTTCACAATTGCTCTGTTTCATGTTCATTAGACCCATAGATTAATTAAAATAACAGATAGGACACTAGATATTGTCTTTTCAAGATTTCTTCGTTTCGTTCACAATGACCCTGAGGCAGAAGCCGAAAGGAGTTACGTGTAGTTAGCAAAGAACAAAGACAGAGAGAGTCTGTTCTACGCCGACTACGTAAAACTCCTTTGGGCTTCTGCCTCAGGGTTATTGTGAACGAAACACACAGAAATCTTGAAAAGACGACATCAAGTGTCCTATATCTGTTATTTTAATTAATCTATGATTAGACCATTTAAAATGTATTTAATGATTATGCAAAGTCCAATAATTCCATTAAAGATAAATGCAAGTAGTTCAGTTAGTCATAGTCTCATTTAACATAAATGTATGTAGTTCAATTAGACAGTCTTATTTAACATAAATGTAAGTAGTTCAGTCAGACATAATCTCATTTAACATAAATGTATGTAGTTCAGTTAGACATAGTCTCATTTAACATAAATGTATGTAGTTCAGTTAGACATAGTCTTATTTAACATAAATGTATGTAGTTCAGTTAGACATAGTCTCATTTAACATAAATGAATGTTGTTCAATTAGACATGGTCTCATTTAACATAAATGTATGTAGTTCACCTATAGACATAGTCTCATTTAACATATTTAAATTAGACATTTAGTCAATAAAAGTATATAGTTCCAATAAACATAAATATATTTCTCTACCTCGGCTCTTTTAAACAAAGTTACCAGAATATTAAATATAACAGAAATGTATTTAAAAAGTTTTCTGACAAAAATATGAATTAAAGTAATGATACGATTTTATACAGCATCACATTTACATTCTTCAATACAAATAAGCAGTAAACCTTGAATATAAATAGTACACATTTGTGATTTGATGGAGTTTGTAAAAATACAACATTCTTATCGAAAATGTATAACTTACAAATGTCGAAATATAATATTAACACAAATTCAAAAAAAAAAAATGGTGATTGTCAAATACTAATGGATAGCGTTGTAATTTTTAAATCTAATAAGATTTAGAGCACCAACCAACCCAGGGTTAGGTTTTTGAGAACAGTTTAATTAATAGTCTTGTTTTCCGATATTTCGTTGATAACATTTAAACTGACAATGTAAGATTATCTACAGATTAAAAGAAAACAGTTGCGTTGCTTATTTCAGAAGTGTTCTAGATTTTCTTACGAGTTTGGAACTACTTACCGAATAAAAAAGCCGATATGTCTTGAGTTAATTATGTTTCTTTGGTTTGAATTGTATAACAAAGTTTAGGACAAATTTTATAACAAATTTTATAACAAATTTTATAACAAATTTTATAACAAATTATGACAAATTTTAACTTTTGATTTATCTTTTACAAATACGTTTCATGGAGAAAACATTTATTGTCAAATTTGATTAAGAAAGTTTCCAGAATTGTTTCATTAAATTGGAAGTTTTGAGTCAGGTTTAGGAGTATAACAGTAGAGAGCACTTGAAATTAGGACGAGGGAGGTTCCTAGGAGAAAATAAGAACCTGGCTCCAGGTCCCCTAGGAGCAGCCAGGATATAAACCCTGACATAAGGATGGAGAGGGAGGTTGCGAACCCCTTTAAGATGTTGTCAGCGTACTTGATAGTAGCTGCTACAACTAGTCCACCAACAGCCTGGAGAACGATGACCGTAACGACCGAGCTTGTGTAGCCAACAAACAGTCCTAAAATAAAAGAACAGGTTTGCAACAAATCCTCAGTTAATCATAGAGCACAGGAAATTCCATTTAAGTCATATTAGAGCCAGGGGTGTATATATTTTCATATTAGAGTCAGGGGTGTATATTTTCTCATATTAGAGTCAGGGGTGTATATTTTCATGAAAAATCAATTTTCTGCCACCACCCCCTTTTGAAAATCATTTCCCCCCAAAAGTTTTATATGCTTTTAAATAATTTTTTTTTATGGTTTTATTCGCTGAATTGGGGAAAGAAATAAATTTTAGGGTAAAAATAAAAAAATTTAAAAGTTGAGCCTTTTGATGTCAAATTATTCATTTTCTTCCCTAATCATCAAAAATCATTCACCCCCCCCCGCGGCGAGGGGGTAATTCTGAAAAATATTCACCCCGATAAGAGTATCAAAGAAGCACAGGAATTAGAAAATATCAGAACTTTGCCATTTTTAACAAAAAGTTTCTTGAAATAAGTATAAATGAGTCAAATATTTACTCAAGTGAAAACAATTTTTTTTGATTTTTCAAACAATACTATCTGTACTGCCATTTTTGGGCATTGAATACATTCTAATATTTTAGACAATATGCATTATAACAGAAACAAGGCTTTGGCCGGATAATAAATGTGAGAAAAAGAACCCATACAGGATGTCCTGGGGCCAAACATTTTTATATTTAAATGCAAAGCAAAACTCCGAAATATTCGCCCTTTTTTTGGGACACAATGTAGAGCTAATAGCACTGCTATTTTACTTCGGATAAATTCAAATTATTGAATTTATATGTGTAGTGTATATTCCAACCCCCCCCCCCACACACCCATTCCTCGAAAATATATGATGGATTTGTATAGATTTAAGATAATATCAAATTTACCCTTTTCGAGGATTTCCGAAAAATCCGAAATCATCATTCCAGATCCAGACAAGAGAAGGGAGAATACACCAAGCTGAAGATTCCGTATTATAACTGAAGGCTGAGAACTTGTTTTTAAAAGTTTCTCATAGAATACCCCGGCAAATCCTGAGGAGAAGCAGGCGACGAGGACGGATATAAGACCGGTCAGTCGGTTTCTCTCCGGGTGTATAGATAGTACCTCTGCTCCTGGTATCTGAACTAGAGCTACTCCTACCGTGAGCAGGATCAAACTAAACCATTGAGTAAAATGAAGCTGTTTCTGAAGAAGGAGAACTGAGAAGCCTGCTGTAGTGAGTATCTTGAGCTGGTAGGTCACCTGGTAGGTTGCAGCATCAAGATTCTTCAATGCTAGAATCAGAATATTGTTCTGAACAGTGTAGAGAAGGGCAGGGATGGATAGGAGTATAGTTTGACGCGGCTTCTCTAATATCTCCGACCTGTAAACAATCCAACTTCGCTTTAAGGAGAACCCCTCCTGTAATAGAAGAAGGAGCAGGCTTAATGTATATTTAAGACACTCTGTACAGAACACTATTGTAGTGGAGATAAAGTGTTCAGTGGCATGAGTAAGACTGTACCGGAATAAGAGTACGGTGAGTGAAGTTTGTACTACTAGAACCAGTAATATCACCCACCTTATCCTGGATTTAAAATCAGTTGTCATATCTAAACTTTAAATTTCCGTCTTCACTTTGCAGAGTGTTTTTCTAAAAAGTCAAGACATGAATCGAGGCCTGCTTTAAACTCTGCATTCTCAGGAGCCAACTCTACGGCTTTCTTGAACCCTGACAAAGCCTCTGTATAGTCCCCCATCCTGTAGAGTATAGTTGACCTGTTGTAGTGAATAGAACCTTCTCCGGGATATAATCTGATTCCTAGATCATAATCTTCCCTAGCTTCATAGAACTTGACCTGTTGATACCTAGCTTGACCCCTGTCATTATACAGCAGAGCAAGATCACGTGCCGGGATAGAATTAGTATCTATATTTTCAATGATTCTGCACAGTGCTAACTCTGCCTCGGCAAATTTTCCGATGTGGAGATCATTTTCGTATCCGAACCTGTTCATTCAGATAGCATAAGGAACCATAAATCTGAAATAAACTACTCTCAGAAACTTGAAATAAGTAAGAAAAGGGGTCTGTCCTAGTGAACGATTTTTAGACCCCCCTCCTTTCAATTTTGTACATGACCATTTATTTTTCAGCAAATTTATTATTATTTATCTTTTTGTTATTTAGGGTTAGGTTAGGTTAAGATGGGGGGTCCAAAAATCGTATACTAGGACAGACCCCAAAAATCGTTCTCTAGGAATATACCCGGGTTTAAACACTACACAACGGTTAAAGCAGAAACTGTTATCAAAGGATAACAAGTGACAAATTGACAATTTTAAAAGTTAACTTTAAATATCGGATAATAGGGGGCAGAGGAGATATTGAAGAGAGAAGATGATAATTAATGAAATTAGATAGTGCACAACCATGGAACAAATTGTAAATTAATCTGTGCTATACATCGTTTACGGTTATTTACTATTTAATTTACATGTATTTTCTTTTGAAATAATCAGTCCCAATTTATAAGTAAACAATAAATATTATTCGACTTGATACCGCTGAAAATTTTTATCTAAGGATTAGGTCGTCTTTGATCTAATGAAATTGAAAATAATTGTTAAAGATTTGGAAGAGGTTTGGTTAGAGCAGAGTATAGTTTAATTCAGAGAAGAGTAGCGTCAGGATCGAGAAGAATAGGTTTATTATACAGAAGAGTAGTTTTAATATAGAGAAGAGTAGGTTTGGAAAATGGAAGACTAGGTTAAGATTATGAGAGCAAAAGAATTCGAGTTGAAATAAGTATGGTTAGCGCGCGGTTAGAGAAGATTAGGGAGATTAGGTCTAGTTTTAAGACTTGATGTTTCGGATTGAAAAGAATAGAGTTCTGGGTAGAGAAGATTAAGGGTAAGGTTGGGGAAGAGTATGGTTCAGGTTGGATAAGAGTATAATCATGTTGAGAAGGGTAGGGTTCAGATTGTAGAAGAGTAGGATCAAAGTCGGAGAATTGAATAGGGTTCAGGTTAGAGAAGACCGGGTCAAGTTAGAGAAGAGTAGGATTAAGTTCGAGAAGAGAAAGGTTCAGGATAGCAAAGTAGGGTTCACGTAAGAGACGAGTAGGTTTTAAATAGAATATAGAATAGTTAAAGTTAGAGTAGGATTATGTTCGAGAAGAGAAAGGTTCAGGATAGCAAAGTGGGGTTCTCGTAAGAGACGAGTAAGTTTTAAATAGAATATAGAATGGTTAAAGTTAGAGTAGGATTATGTTCAGGATAGCAAAGTGGGGTTCTCGTAAGAGACAAGTAGGTTTTAAATAGAATATAGAATGGTTCAGGTTAGAGTAGAGTAGGTCTTATGATAGAGAAGAGTAGGGTTCAGGTTAATGAAGAGTAGATTTACGACAGAGAAGAGACTGAGTAGATTTATCATTGATAAGGTTCTGGATTAAGAAGAGTAAGGTTTAGGTCGGACATCGAGTTAGGTTAAGGTTGAAAAATCGAGTAGGTTTATCATTGAGAAGATTCTGGATAAAGAAAAGTAATGTTTAGGTCGGACAAGAGTAAGGTTTAGGTTGGATAAGAATAAGTTTATGTTGGGGAAGAGAAGGTTCAGGATTAGGAGATGTAATTGGTTCACGCTGGAAAAGAGTAGGGAATAGGTTGGATAACAGTAGGTTCAAGATAAAGAAGAGAAGATTGGAGATAAGTAGGTTTATTATTAAGAAAAGGATGTTTCTTGTTAAGGTTGGATAAGAGTATTATATATTGGAGAAGATTAGGTTCAGGATAAAGAAGAGTAATTGGTTCAGTTGGAGAAGAGTATGTTCAGGTTGGAGAAGAGTATGTTCAGGTTGGAGAAGTGTAGGTTTCGAGAAGAGTTTCAGATTGGTGAAGATAGGTTCAGGATAAAAGAGTAAGGTTAGGTTGGAGATGATTGGGGTTTATGTTGAAAAAGAAAGGTTTCTTATTGAGAAGAGTAGGTTCAGGTTGAAGAGGTATAGGTTCAGGATAAGAGAGTAAGGCTCAGGTTGGAGAATATAGAAGGGTTCAGGTTATGGATTTAAGTTGAAAAGTTTACAGGTTTCATTTTAAGTAGACTAGAGTAGGTTTAGGCTGGACAAAGAAAATAGCTGGTCACTGGGAGTCCAGCTGTTTAGAGAAGAGTATATGAAGGTTTTTAAATTAGAGAGATTGGTGTTAGAACAGTTTTGTTTGTAAATCTTTCTTCCTTATTATAATTATTTCTGGCCACATATCCATCCTTTCTCTCGATCTATTTATTCATTCCGATCATTTTACATTTAATATTTAAAAATATCCCCCCCCCCTCCCTCCTGCCGGCTGCCCAAACCCACGATTAAATCTGCGAGTTATTCTGCTTAATGACATATCTTATTACTCCCCACTCCCCAGGTATAGGATGGATCGGATGGAAGGTAGTGAGAGTTAAGAATTTATCTATCTATCTATAAAGATTGTATTTCTCAATGTATTCCTATATATCAACCTATCCGCGTACATATTTATATACCTATCTATCTATCTACAAAGAGAAAGACCGCGGTGCTCTACTGCGCATGTGCACATTTCCAAACCAATCCTAGGCGCAGGCGCATAAGCATTTAGTAACAATAAACTAGTAAATATATCCATGTTTAAGGGAAAGCATGAGATAAATCTTCCTAATTCTTCACTCTAATACGAGATAAACGCTAATGTCAGATCAGTTAACAAGTTAAAAAATTTCTGTTAATCGGAGTAAAGTTATCATCCGTTCTGAACCTTGCTTGAAAACTTTACGTACAATTCGATACATAGGAGTGAAAATTATATAAATACACTCGTTCAATCCTCAGTTTAACATAGATTAAAACATCTGCAATCAAGTTCTGATCTTTGGGATTGATGATAAAGGATTCTTGATCCGGGATTGATGATCCAGGATCCAGGATGGAAAGCTCTGATGATCCTACCGCGGTAGGACGGAGCAGGAGAGCCCTGAGAACTAGAACTAGTAATACAGGTAATTTATGGGTAATTTCCTAGAAAACAATTATTTGATCCCGCCCCCCCCCCTTCCTATAAATTTTGTACATGGATCTAATACGTATCTAATGGATATAATTGGTCATGTGGCCGCAGCGCTCGGCCCCTAGCCTGTCCTAGTCGCGGCGCCCAGCCCCCTAGCCTGTTCTAGCCGCAGCGCTCGGCCCAGAAATTGTCTTGACCTAATCTAACCCTAAATTTTGTACCCACTAAAGTTCTACAAACTGATTGATAAATAGTATTTTATCCTAATTAAAATCCTATATAATATTTAAAGCAAATCTTGTTGAACTTTTCATCATAATTGTTAAAAATGTAATTATTGTAGACAATTTTAATATTCAATAAAAAATAAATCCAAGAAATTACAATACTTTCAACTTAAAGATAACTTGGCATCTTCTATTTCAATTGTGAACATTTTCTCTTTGTGCACATTGTGAAACAAAAACAAAAAAAGTTCACGGATTTAAAAAAATTCTTGGATTTTCAAAATTGGCTGAAAGTCAAATTTTGTTAAAGGCTAATATTTGAAAGTTTAATTAAAAAGTACATGTAATATATAGTATATTAGAAAATAATATATTTGATTTTTTAACGTTGCTTAATTGTAGGGCGCTTCGCGTCTCCTTGTTAGTAAAAAAAAGACATTAAGTAATTAAGTAAGTAATTTTTTATATAAAATACAACAAAAATTACAAAATAAAGTGTTCGAGGAGGAAATATTTTAAAGCCTCCAAAACAGAAGTTGTGGAAATATTACCCCCCCCCATCCTAAAAAAAATTTAATTTTTCTTTAAAAAATTGTTTTATTTTCATCCATTTGACTTTCTTCTTTTTTAGATGTAATAGATTTTAATCTTTTTCTTGTGATTTAGATTAACAAAGTAATGAACTAAAAAGTCTCTTTGCTTATCGCAATCTGTGTCCTAACTCTGCAACTTTTTACAAATAAAACATAAAATGACAATTAATCATTTAATTAGTTAATTACACAATTATATAATTATTACAAGCAGGTAGATAATTTGTTTGTTTCAGGTGGTGCCTCTGAAGGTTCTGCAGCTACAGGATCTGCCCTACCACCTCCAGGTCCACCTTCAACAGGAGTAGCTCCGGTGGGGGCAGAATCTCCCAGATCTGAGGCCAGTGATGGCCGAGCCAGTCGATCATCCAATCCTGAGTTTGCAGCGAAGCAGAAGGCATTCATGGCAAAGGTGACGGCTGCCACTAAAGGAAGTATGGATACTTATCTAACTCAGGAGATGGTTTCTATTCAACCCGTCTCAGGGAAGAGGAAACAACTGGTAAGAAACGATGATGAAAACGTGAAGAGACGGAGAAGTACTCGAACCAACTCCAGTGGGTTGGATGTACTAAGTGATGGATACTGTTGGATTTGTCACAAGGAAGGTGACGTTATGTGTTGTGAAACGTGTCCTCGTGTTTATCATTATAAATGTATCCAACTAGAGTCTAGTCCAGCAGAGGACTGGGTTTGCCCTGAATGCGTCCTGATAATGAGTGCGGAGAACATGGAAACTCGATCCAGGGCAATGCGTCTCCTCACAATAGATCAGCTATGTACCTTGCTCAAACACGCCTTATCTAGAATAAAAACTGTTACAAATGTTGACCCCTTCCTGAAACCAGTTGACCCTCTCCAGTTCCCAGCATATAAGGATTACATCTCCTGCCCAATGGATCTACAGAGCATTGAACGGAATATCCGACGGAAACAATACGGAAGCACGGAATCAATGTTGGCGGATTGTAAATGGATTCTTCACAACTGTATAATCTTTAATTCTCCGTCTAGTAAGCTGACCAGTATTGCTAAGAGTATTGTGAAGATATGTAAGCATGAGATGCAGGAGATTGAGAATTGTCCTGATTGCTACCTTAATGCTCACGTAAAGAAGGAGGTGTGGTTCACAGAGGCGTGTCGGCTTCCCCACCCCTTGGTCTGGGCTAAACTCAAGGGATTCCCTTATTGGCCGGGGAAAGTTATGCGCGTTAATTCCGACAATAGTGCGGATATCCGATTTTTCGGAGCTCACGACCGCGCCTGGATTCCGATTAAGGACGTATTCCTCTACAGTAAAAAGCCTCCATCTGATATAAAGAAGAAGAGAGGAAATATTGATACATGTTTTGATGAAGTTGAGAAACATTTAAAGAAGCTCAGAGACAGATTTGGCAAAATTGATTATGCTAACCATAGAACTCCTTATGATCATTCGAAGGAGGCTGAAATGATAAAGATTTTGTTTCCCAACTATACCCTGCCCTTCGATATAGGTAAGCTGGGACGGAGAACCCGGAGCTATAGTTTCACCGGGAGTGAAAGATCCCGGGACGATGATACTCCGACTCCTAGTGAGTCCGGAGGTATGGAAGATTATGAAGAGCAGGAGGAGACAATTAAGAATATTGAAGAAGAATCTATTACTGCAGAACACGAAGAGGAGAATGTCGACAAGGTTCTTGAACCTGTTGAGGTTCAGGATAATATAGAGTTGGAGGCCCAGCTTGAAAAAGAAAATGCTCCGATTGAGTTTAAAACACCAAATGATGATAAAAAAGAAGAAATGGAAGAAAAAGATGAGAAAATGGAAGTTGGTGAGGATGAAAGCCTGGCGGAGAAGAATATTCCTGCTCAAGATAAAATAAATGGAAATCCCAAAACAACTGTTATCAATCAATCAATTTCAACAGGTAAACAATTATTTTATAAAGTGGATTTAATTTTTAGAAAGCTTATATTGTGAATTTGTGGAAGAGGAATGAATAAATGAAAGGAACAAACTTTGATGTAAAGTGAGTTCCGTTTTACCGGTCCTTGTTTTATTAGGATATATATATACAAAGTGTGGGCATTGTACGGCTCAGTTTCATTTGCCATAATACTTTTGTCATAAATACTTTTGCCATAATTACATTTGTCAGAATACATTTGCCATAAGTAACACTTGCCATAAATTACACTTGCCATAAGTTATACCTGCCATGATGGTTACACTTGCCATAATTACACTTGCCACAATTAAAATTAAATTTGCTTAGAATTAACAAACATATCTATATATAAATTTGGCTTGTCTGTCTGTTTGTTTGTATCCAATAAACTCAAAACGGCTAAACCGATCGGGCCCAAATTTTTGTGGGACATCACGTGACTACAGGGAAGGTTTACGAATGATAAAAATGAAAATAAATTGTTTTAAAGGTTTTTAATTTTGTAAAAAAAAAAAATTCTTGAAAATCCGCGAATTTTTTTTTTAAATCCGCAAAAAATTTTTCTTTGTTTTAAAATGTAAACAAAAAGAACATGTTCACAATTAATTTAAATAGAAAAAGCCTAGTATATATATATTTTTTAATTACAAATTAAATACAAATTACAAATCTAATTCAGAGACAGCTGAGCACATTTTAACCGAACATTTCCAATATTTCACTTCTGTAAACGAGGTATTGGCTAAATAGGTGTAGTTGTTGCTGTCTCAAACTATTGGTTTACCCTTACTTGTGGTCTCAAAGGTCACCAAAGGGTCCTCCATTGTGAGAAAATATGGAGTTGAACTTGTGTCAACTGTTCTACTTTAAAACAATGAGAAAACTTAAGGTAAAGGTATTATCATATTATGGCAAGTGTAATTATGGCAAAAGTATTATGGCAAATGAAACTGAGCCCATTGTACCCAATAGCAACACTTTAGTGGGAAAAGCGATTAATATCTTCTTTAATGGGACTGAGCACATTTTCGAATATTAGACCTAATTTTAAAGGTTTAAACGGCATTTAGAGAAAAATGTTTCATCGACGACCCCCCATTTATTTTCTTTGTTACTTTTAGGATCACTTTTTGATAAAATATCCTTTTTTCAGAGACGTATACATATTATTTGTGTCTGTAATTTTTGCTCCGGGTGTGTCGGAAAATGACTAAATTGCTAGTATTAACTTGTTCCCTTTTTAGAAAATGAGAATAAAGAAGAAAAGATGGAGAAGGACGAAATTGTCAAAGAAAATACAATCACAGCTGATAAATCAGAAGACGAGACAAATACTAGTTTAGTTGAAGATGTGAACCAAGATAATAAGGAAGACGAAGATATCAAGGTGCAAAAGAAAACAATCGAGACAGGAAAGGAGGATCCGAAATGTGAATCTAAGCTTGCAGAAAGTTTACAATCATCCCTTTCAGCTGATGTTACAGAGGTTGCCGTTGTACCTGGAGAAGTAGGGCGTGTTGCATCCTCTCCACCCTGTGAAGTAACTTCAACTACTGCAGGCCAGGAGAAGGTTGAGGAGAAGAAGAGAGAGGAAGGAAAGCTTGTTGAGGGAATTATAGCGGATAGCAATGAAAAAGTTATAATAGAGGAGGAAGATTTAGAGGAAATCGATGATGTTGAACCTACTGAAGATCTAGTCGAAGAATCGACACAGATAATAAATGATGAAGATAAACAAAATAAGAATGACGATGCCGGTGATGAAGAAATAGATGACGTGGAACCATCCTCAGATGAAACTATAAACCAGGAAAAGAAAACCCCCAAACTAGTTGATACTGCAGGCCTGTTAGAAGCAGGAGTTAGCATTACAAAGATTGACAGAACCAAGATAAAAGATAAACCGCTCAAAGATGAAACTAAAGATAACTCAGATGATATTAGTGTAACCTATAGTAGCAAGGAAGGAGCTAAGTCTCGGAAGGACGAGGAGAGGGAGGAGTCCAGGAATCCTAGAGGAGTTGAAAAGAAACGTTCCAGTACAAATACAGAGATCGATCTGGACTCTGAGAACGATTCTATTCTGACAATCAGTAAAGTTGTTTCTTCCAAGGAGGTTCGAGAATCTCCGCGTCCTTCCTCACAGAGTAGTTCTGGAGAGGGAAGAAGATCTCATAACTCCAGTCCCTTAGTTCAACAACAACTATCCCACCCCTTCTTTGCTCCTAGACTACCTGGTTATAGGGGACCTATCCCGCCCATGGGTCCTAGGGGACCTCACATGATGATGGGCCCTGGACAGGGTATGATGATGAGGGGCCAGTACCGTGTACCTTCTCCTGGACCACATGGTCCACCAAATCTGCAAACTCGTCCTGCTGGACCACTCTCCCTTCCACCCAGTCTTCCATCCATAGCAGGTCCAGTGGCAGAGCAGCTTAATAAGGTCGCGGCCAAACTTGCCGAAACCTTGAAGAAAAGTCTCAGGGATACCTTTGCGGATCTGGAGAACGAGGAAACCCCAGATAACACGATTAAAAAGCTGCAGATAGAGTGTGAGAAACTTCAGTGGAGGCATCAGCAGGAATTAAACGAGATGAAACACAACGCTGACCTCGTCATCATGGAGATGAGAAGCACAATGGAGCAGGAGAAGCAGAAAGCAGTCCGGGACTGCAGGAAGGTTGCAGATGAGGAGAAGCAAGCTGCAATCCAAGAAACCAAGAAGAAACAATGGTGCTCTATGTGCGGAAAGGAAGCAATTTTCTACTGTTGTTGGAACACCTCATACTGCGACTATCCTTGCCAGCAGGCGCATTGGCCGGCACATATGTCAACCTGCTCACAGAACTCAGATGCTGCCGGGGCTGAAGAGGTGATGAACGGAGTTCATCATGAACCAATTCACCATCAACCTCATCCTTCTCATCCACATTACATGCACCAACTACCACCTGTACCACCTCATCATGTACGAGGTCCTACGCAGCATATGCGTATACCCGGAGATATGAGCGGAATGAGGTTTGGAATGCGTCCGACACATCCCGGACAAATGTTTAATCGGCCTTATTACATGTAACCAAGCATAATAATACTTTTTCTATGCAGTTTAATTGTGACAAAAAATAATATTTTTAAAACTTAAAATGTATATACGTATGTACAAGTACTCTGTACTTAAGCGTGTACATATGAACAAAATTTGTCTGTATCTTAAAGCGCTAATTTTTTAGTGCGAGTTTTCTTCGGTAAATAATAAAATTTAAGGAACTTAAGATGTTTTATTTTGAGATTTTGATTTATGTTCAGTTTTCAGAAATTGTATATTTCTTCGGAGAAATTCAAGATATTAATTAGTTTCCAGGGGATTGATAACTGAAGTATTTTGAACAAGATTTCTCTGAAAAATGTGCCTCCTCTAAAATCACGAACAATATATGATTTTTCTGTGATTAACATTGCTCACGAAGAGTTGGGGGAGGGGGGGGGCCTGCACAGAACATCAGTGATAAAACTGGGAGAAAAATTTAAATACAGGGAAAAAGTGAAAATGTTTCAAGGATAAATGAGAAATGACAGGGTATAATAGGTTTAAAAGTCAAATTGAATCGAGGATATATCAGAAATGACAGGATACATAGAGAAAGGGAAAGAATACATGGAGAAAGGGACAGAATAAATATAGAAAGGGACAGAATACATAGAGAAAGGTACAGGATACACGGAGGAAGGGACAGAATACATGGAGAAAGGGACAGAATACATGGAGAACGAGAAAGAATATATGAAGAAAGGGACAGAATACATGGAGAAAGGGACAGACTATATGAAGAAGGGACAGAATACACGGAAAAAGGGACAGAATGCATGGAGAAAGGGGCAGAATATATCGAGAAAGAGACAAAATGTATGGAGAAATGGACAGAATACATGGAGAAAGGTACAGAATATATGGAGAAAGAGAAAGAATATATGAAGAAAGGGACAGAATTTATGAAGAAGGGACAGAATACACGGAAAAAGGGACAGAATGCATGGAGAAAGCGACAGAATACATGGAGAACAGTATTTTAGGACAAGAGAAGGATACATGGAGAAAGGAGAGGATTCTCTAAGGAAAATTAGTTTATTGACTATTGCAATTATATAATTTTTAAATTTCCAGCGATATCCGTGATTTAGCTTGACTTTGTTAATAAAAACTTTATAATTGCATGATTATCCAGCCTTTCCAACCATTCAGACCTGCCTTGTTCACATTTATTGATTTTAATCATGCCGTTTTCCTGGATTCCCTGGATATAGTATTTATTTTTCTTATATAAATAGATATTATAACAGTAAATCAGTATATTAAAAACAATTTATACCAGTTCAAAACATGAGATTACGCGGATTTAAATACTTGTCTCTATTTTTCTCCAATTCTTCTCATAATACGCGTCCGTTAAATACTGAGATATTTTTGATTTTTCATAACAATTATGCGACAATTTACATTCTTTGACATACTTACATAAAGTATCTAACAATTTTTTACATTTCTATTAGAAATGAAAATAGAATAATTTGTTATTTCCATTTAGGGATGGGCTCGATGGGCAATAGACAGACTCGTTTTATTGAAACACTTAATGTTTTAGACTTTTAAAAGTTTTACGACAATATGAAAAGTTTACCACATTTTAAAACTTTATTCTGTAGAAATTTGCTTTTATCAAACATGTAAATTTGTAACCCTAGAAAAAATATAAGACAAAAACTATCGTTTTTAAAAAGATAGTTTTTGGGTTTTTAAAACGATAGTTTTTAGGTTTTATAGCGATTTTTTTTGGTTCGTTTTTCCTAGGATAACAAATTTTCGTTTTTGACAAAAGTAAATATAATTTCTACAGAATACAATTTCAAATAGTTGAAATATTTTATAAATCTAAAAATATTAAAAGTTTCTGTGAAACGAATCTAGCTATTTTCATCTTCTATTGCTGAGTCCAATAATAAACTAATTTTAAATTCTAAATAATATATTTGATATTTTTGATAAATATAAATTCACAAGTCGTCTCAATCATTAATCATGCTAGTGGGACAATACAAGCTCTGTAAACTGTAGTTCTGAACTTGTGAGTTGATTTGTAATTGAACATTTTACATTTTACATTCCCCTTTTTCAGAACTATCTTAGTGTAGATTGCGTTAAATCATTATCATAATTTGATTAAGATAAGATAAGAATATTAATTATAAGATTAGGCTATATATTGATGCGGGTTTATGTTCTCTCGCTACCGGAGACAGGACGCATGCGCAGAAACTCCGGATCCATAGATCCTCCGAGCTCCCATCAGCTGTAAAACTCAGACATAGAAACAACACCAACTCTCTGGGCCTTGTCTCACATATTCTTTACTCAATCTACGGTTTGAGAACCATGAGAAATGAGTTCTAAATTCGACCAAAGTGATCCATTGTAAAATTTAGTGAAAAATAAAGAAAAAAGTTATATTAGTTTATCGCCAAGATATAACTTATATTCTTTATGGTAAGATTAGTTTGTTCATAAACATACTGATCTCAGTCAGTTATACTCCTCTGTTATATAGGGTAGGTAATTGTGTTTAATACTCAGTTATATATTTATTATACATGGAGTAGATTCAAATCCTCGTTTTCTTCATGTTAACAAGAATTTAAAATCTACTTGTCATGTCATGGACTGAATAACAAGGATTTGCAACCTACTCCATGTTAATATATTATGCACTGATTATAACAAGGATTTGAAACCTTATTCATGCATAATATATCATGCACTGATTACCAAGGATTTGCTTTCTTCATGTAAAAAATATCATGCACTGCAGAATAACAAGGATTTGAAACCTTCTTCATGTATAATATATCATGCACTGATTATAACAAGGATTTGAAACCTTCTTCATGTATAATATAGCATGCATGATTATAACAAGGATTTGAAACCTTCTTCATGTATAATATATCATGCACTGATTATAACAAGGATTTGCAACCTACCCCATGTATATCATATTCCATGCACTGCAGAATAACAAGTATTTGCAATATAATCCATGTATATAATATATCGTATGTCATAATCACACCGTGCATAATATATTATATACATGGGATAGGTTGCAAATCCTTGTTATACAGTGCATGATATATTATATACATGGGATAGGTTGCAAATCCTTGTTATACAGTGCATGATATATTATATACATGGATTAGGTTGCAAATCCTTGTTATACAGTGCATGATATATTATATACATGGGGTAGGTTACAACTCCTTGTTATTCAGTGCATCATATATTATACATGGGGTAGGTTGCAAATCCTTGTTATTCAGTCCATCATATAATATACATGGGGTAGGTTGCAACTCCTTGTTATTCATTGCATCATATAATATACATGGGGTAGGTTACAACTCCTTGTTATTCAGTGGATAATATAATATACATGGAGTAGGTTGCAACTCCTTGTTATTCAGTCCATCATATAATATACATGGGGTAGGTTGCAACTCCTTGTTATTCAGTGCATCATATAATATACATGGGGTAGGTTGCAACTACTTGTTATTCAGTGCACCATATAATATACATGGGGTAGGTTGCAACTCCTTGGCATTCAGTCCATCATCTAATGTACATGGGGGAGGTTACAACTCCTTGTTATTCAGTTCATCATATAATATACATGGGGTAGGTTGCAACTCCTTGTTATTCAGAGTGATATATTTTGAAGCAGTTTTTCAACACCTACTCACTTATATAGTTTGTATTCCTAAATATTTACATCTGAACACAATCAGGAGATTGCGTCTATAGTTTCCGTTTAAACAGAGTAATTGGTAAAATTCCCATTGAATTTCTCAAATTCTAATTTTACGACATAAATTCTAAAAATTAAAAAAAAATAATATAAATAGAAATTCAAGGCGCTTCGTCGCGCCCTTCTTTCTAGCCTTAAAGGGCGCTTCGCGCCCATCTTCTAAATTAATTGTGAACATGTTCTCTTTGTGTACATCGTAAAACAAAACAAAAATAATTCGCGGATTTTCACAAAAAATTTCGTGGATTTTAAAAAATTTTAAATTTTTAAAATTTAATGAAGATCGAATTTTGATGGAGACAAATATTTGAAATTTTGATCATTCATAAACCTTCCCTGTGGTCACGTGATGTCCCACAAAAAATTTGGGCCCGATCGGTTCAGCCGTTTTGACGTTTATTGGACACAAACAAACAGACAGACAAACAGACAGACAAGCCAAATTTATATATAGATTTGGCTTGTCTGTCTGTTTGTTTGTTTGTCTGTTTGTTTGTATCCAATAAACTTCAAAACGGCTGAACCGATCAGGCCCAATTTTTTTGTGAGACATCTAGGACCCCAGGGAAGGTTTATGAATGATTGAAATTTCAAATATATGTCTCCATCAAAATTCGATCTTCATTAAATTTTTGAAAATTTTGAAAATCCACGAAATTTTTTGTGAAGATCCGCGAATTATTTTTGTTTTGTTTTACGATGTACACAAAGAGAACATGTTCACAATAAATTTAGAAGATGGGCACGAAGCGCCCTCTAAGGCTAGTTTATATATAGAAGGGATTGTTTAATGTAAAGCACGTTTAAAAATGTTCCAGAGGTTATTTTTCAAAAATATCTATGATTGGACAAAAATAAGTTTAATAAAACAGTAATTGTATGAACCAGTATCAATTTTTTACACCCTATCTGGTATATCAGGTATATACCAGTTTGTGTTGGAGAAATTAAACCTGGAAGGGCTTTCCTTACTTATTCATCTATCTGACTAGTCAACAGTCTGCCCACAAAAGTACATCTAAACACTACAAAATGTTCATTGTCATGCATTACACCGTAGAAATTTATCACTTGGTAACATCGTCGTTTTACAATATGTCTATTGTACTGTGGAGACTAGATACAACAGGAGACCATAGAGTACTGAGGAGACTAGAAACTACAGGAGACCATAGAGTACTGAAGAGACTAGATACTACAGGAGACCATAGAGTACTGAGGAGACTGGAAACTACAGGAGACCATAGAGTACTGAGGAGACTAGATAATACAAGAGACCATAGAGTACTGAGGAGACTAGAAACTACAGCAGACCATAGAGTACTGAAGACCCTAGATACAACAGGAGACCATAGAGTACTGAAGAGACTATATACAACAGGAGACCATAGAGTACTGAAGAGACTAGATACAAAAGGAGACCATAGAGTACTGAGGAGACTAGATAATACAAGACACCATAGATTAAACTGAGGAAACTAGAAACTACAGGAGACCAAAGAGTACTGAAGAGACTAGATACAACAGGAGACCATAGAGTACTGAAGAGACTAGATACAACAGGAGGCCATAGAGTACTGAAGAGACTAGATACAACACGAGACCATAGAGTACTGAGGAGACTAGAAACTACAGGAGACCATAGAGTACTAAAGAGACCAGATAATACAAGAGACCATAGAAAACTGAGGAGACTAGAAACTACAGGAGACCATAGGGTACTGAGGAGACTAGACACTACAGGAGACCATAGGGTACTGAGGAGACTAGATACTACAGGAGACCATAGGGTACTGAGGAGACTAGATACTACAGGAGACCATAGAGTACTAAGGAGACTAGAAACTACAGGAGACCATAGAGTGCTGAGGAGTCTAGATACTACAGGAGACCATAGATTACTGAGGAGACTGGAAACTACAGGAGACCATAGAGTACTGAGGTGACTAGAAACTACAGGAGACCATAGAGTACTGGGGAGACTAGATACTACAGGAGACCATAGAGTACTGAGGAGACTAGATACTACAGGAGACCATAGAGTACCGAGGAGACTAGAAACTACAGGAGACCATAAAGTACCGAGGAGACTAGAAAGCACAGGAGACGATAGAGTACTGAGAAAATTAGAAACCACAGAAGACCATAGAGTACTAAAAAGACTTGAAAAACCTAAGGACTGAGGAACTTGAAGCAAACGGAGTAGACAGTTAAAAGTAACGAGGAACTAGAAACCACATGGTGAACAGGAAACAAAGTAGAAACCAGGAGCACCTGCTTTCCATAGCGTCAATCTCAATGGATCTGTTTAGATATATAATTGCAAGGGAGAGGGGGACTTTGCCAGGTGGGGAGAAGGGCGGGAGACCTAGTTTTGAATATGGTGTTCTGTGCATCTATCCTTGTGAAACCCAACATAGCCTTGCTCGACCTTGAGCTTGGTTTCCGTCCGTTGTTGAGTGTTGGTCGTGAAGCTTCCTAAAATCTCAACAACCAAGATAAAATGCATAATACATACGCTTCATGTGGTTTATCAGCGGTCATAGGTTTAGTTATCCAACATCTGTCTCTAATTATTTAACGGTCTATGACTTAACCGTTTTAAAACTAAAACTCATTTCTGAAACCGGAAGAATTGTTTTCAAGGTTGGGAAAGATATAGGAACTGTGCTGCGCACAGTTTCAGTTTGAAGTTTGCAGAGCGCAGTGTTGCCTGGTGCGCAGTCAACCATAGTAGTCGGATACTAGTAGAACACAGATATACACAGTTGTCTAGTCTAATACTAGAGCAGAGAGGATTCTTTTAATAACAATCTTTCCTTATAAGCTTGTTTTCAAATAATGAAGATGTTAATTTTTAAAGTAAAAATAGTGAAAAAATGTAGTGAACTTGACATATCAAGTTTGGCATTAAGGCGTGAGTAAACATAAAAAATAAACGGCATCATATTGGTGAGGCACATACTAAAAATGGGTGAGGGTGGGGAAGGTGGAATGACTGCAGAAATGATTCAACGCGTAAGAGATTAGATGATTTGTGTTGTATGTATTGTATAAGTTAATGTGAGTGTCACAGAAGTCAAGGCTGAATCTAATAAAAGCTTGATTCCAAGATTCTCAAGTTTAAATCATGAAAACATAAAAACATTTTCCGCTGAACAGAAATTCACTTTCTTAACACACTTAAATCATTTTTATCAACAAAAAAAAAGTACGCTTTTCCAAGGGTGGATATAGGGGTGAGCCATGAAGCAAAGGTTTGCACCAAGGAGCTACGGAAAATGAAGTAACGTCTGAGTTGGCTCACCCCTAGTAAATTCCTGTATCCATACAACACATAACCTGTAAGTTTCATTAAAATAATGTACCATGATTTTAAGTCGGAGCAGATGGGGGGGGGGGTGCCGAAGAGTGTCAAACAAGTATCAACGAATTACACGTGAAAATATTTAAAGAAAGTTTATCTCATAAAAATACTGGATTAAAAGCTAAAACTAATTTTCAAGTTTAATAAGAAATACCGCACTAGAAAGTTCAATGATAAAGGGATTAGATAAAATAAAAAGATTCAACCTTTAAAGATAGAAATATTATCTTAGATAAAGAGAACTGTAATAGAGAGCAAGCAGGAGATTAGAGAAGAAGTAAAATGTCAAGGGTTGAGAAAAGGTTATATAAAACCGTATGCTCTATAGGGTACAGACAGTATTAACAGTATCGCTCAATCCTGATCAAATCCTTGAATCTTTTCAAAGGAACTGATTACTTGCCAAAGTCGATAATTCTCTAAACCCTATATCTTTTCAACCTGATGATATGATAAAGTCTTTCATATTTCAAACTAACTCTATTTAATCCAGCAGATTTATTATTTGAAATAACAAAGGGAACAGATTTAATGAAAAACGACATAGTTGAATCAATTCTCTTTGAACTTGAACCTACTCACACAAGAATAGTAGTTCAATTATTTTACACTAGCCAGTAAATTTGATCCGAGGTTGAAAAAATTAAAGTTTTAGAAAGTTGAAAAAAAATCGGTTCATTTATGTTTAACTTGTAAATCATACAGTGAAACCCTTAATAACGAATTCATTGAAAAATTGTCAAGACGACATTTGATAAATTCTTCCGATGTATTTGTTATAAAGGGTTTCACTGTAGAAGGAAATTTTAAACTGAAACCAGTCGAGAAGAACAAAATAAAATTCATCCTTGAGTAGTTCTTCTTTTTCCGGAATCCTGGTTCGACCCACCTTATTTCAGATTCTTGGAATAGTTCCGACTCCTCCAGATTATTTTAGTAGTTCTTTCGGAGTTCACAGATCTATTTTTATTACCCCATTATCTCTTATTCTGATTTCTTTAAACGAAGAGTACTCCAGATTCAGGGTTCTAGGAGGAGTTCACGGTCTTGAGAGAGTTTCCTTTATCTTGAGTTTTTTAATTAAATCAATTCTTTAAATATGAATTTTTCTTTCCGATTCTTCTTCTTCTGGGGACTGGGATCAGTTCTTCTAATTTTAGAATTGTTAAGTTTTTTTACCTATTTTTAAATTATCTTTTCAGTTTCTACTTGGTGATGTTATCTAACGACCTTGCATCTTGATTTTGTATCTTTACGCTTGGAATCTAGATATTTCCTCTTTGATTCTCCATCTTTCCATCTAGTTTTGTTTCTCTGTATTTCCTTCTAGTTCTTAATTCTTTATCCTCTATATCTCCGTTCTCTTATCTGATTTTATCAACACAAAAATACCATTAAACGACGACCTGAAAATCTTGTAATGGAACGCTTCAAAGGTTGAAAATGGTTCTCTACTCTTATTAGTTTTTTTTAATGGATAACCAATAAGGTTGGCAATGGCAGTTCAGTTTTCTCTGAAGTTTTAACACTTTTGAGTATTCTTATACTTTGGTTTTTATCCTGTTTTCTAAACATCTTAGGTCCTTGAATCATATCCTGTATTCTCGGTTCATGTTAATCGTTGATAAAGTAATATCCTTATTTTGTAATCCTAATTCATGTTTATTGTTTTCCAGTTTTATTCCTGTTTTTAATCTTAATCTTTTCTATTTATCTTGTACCTTGCATGCGAATACTTGAGGAAGTTACATGTATAATTACACAATTTGCCTTTAACTCTGAAAACCACAATTAAAAGATATTTCCCACGTTATTTTGTAAAGTTATATAATATGCATTTTACATATGATTAAGACACAGTAAAAAATCAATGATAATTTTTCTAAAAAATAGTAAATAATAATTTTAATATTTTCAGAAAAATGTCGTGATTTGTTCAAGTATTATCTTGTAGTCCAATGGTTTAAAGTTGGTGGAGAAGAGAGACCACCAATAGTGCAGAATATGGCTGGAATTACGGAGGAGCTGGGGGACCCGGCCATACAGGGCACTACAGGTAGATAATTAGATAATATTAATAATAATAATAAAAATAATAATAATAATTATAATAATAATAATTATAATAGTAATAATAATAATAAAAATAATGATAATAATAATAATGATAATAATAACAATAATAACACTAACTGCAGCTGAGACCTTCCACCTGGCATATTCTATTATGGATTCCTCCCGTGTCTCAACCTTCTTCATCTCCATCCTTCTCATCGTGTACGGATCCTTCCGATCCATCTCTATGGAGGAGGGGAAGGGGGTGGGGGAGGACGGAGAGGATGAGAAGAGAAGGGAGCAGAGCGTGACCACTCTGGACTCCCTGCAGGCAATGTGTCTCCCCCTGGGAGCTTCAGTTTCTCTTCTCATCATGTTTTTCTTCTTCGACTCCATGCAGGTAAACAATCTCCACGCCAAGGATTTATGAAAGGAGGAGGGCGACCATAGGGGCTACCCCCCCCCCTCTGAAAATTGAAAACCATGTTTTCTAGGAGATTAAGCCCCAGTCCACCCCCCCCCATATACTCAAGCGGTAAAACGGGGGTTGCTTCAATGTTTTTAATTTTTGGCAAGCAATTCTTGAAGGGTGATTTTAAAGAAAACAAGATAAAAATGAAAAAGATAATATGGTTAGCATAATAAATGTCCTCCGTTGTCTCAACACCCTAAAATCCAAAAACTTTTCCATTTAATCATATTTTGTAGTACGGTATGATTCTTTTCAAACTTGAAGTTAAATGTCATGATAATACAAGATAATCATTTATCAACCATCTCTCTAAAACAAGGGCTTAAATGTAAGGGCAAGGGCGTATTAAGGATTTAGTCTATGAAGGGTCAACAATTCTCCCCCTCCATACTAGAAAATATGGAGTTCCAGGGGACGCAAACTTTTTCATAGCGTCCTTAAGTTTTTTATAGCAACTGTTATTTTATTTGTTGTTTGCTGTCTGCACAGCTGTTATAGCAATTGTTATTTTAGTTGTTGTTTGCTGTCTGCACAGCTGTTATAGCAACTGTTATTTTAGTTGTTGTTTGCTGTCTGCACAGCTGTTATAGCAACTGTTATTTTAGTTGTTGTTTGCTGTCTGCACAGCTGTTGTAGCAACTGTTATTTTAGTTGTTGTTTGCTGTCTGCACAGCTGTTATAGCAACTGTTGCCCTGGCGTTCCTTCTTCTGCCGATGTGTCAGTATCTGGTGAGACCGTGCTCAGCAGGTTGGTTCTTCAATCTTATTATTTAATCTATCTCGGGAACCCAGCTCTTCCTGGAAACTAAGTTTTCCCAAATAGATTGTTAAGTAGTATTTGTACACTCTCAGTACAGCTGTATTCTTACATCACAAGTGTCAACTTGCAGTATTGTATCCGACATAATTAATAATAATAGTGATAATTTTAGAATAAAGAGCTTATCTGACAGTGAAAAAAGGTGCAATTTTATGTGTTATATATTTTCTGTTTTTACACTTTTTTATTTAATCTTGAAAAACATGTCAAATAATGCGAGAAAATTTCGTTTTCTTTGTTATATTTGACACTTGTGACGTCGTGTATAATTGATCCATTTCTCTGTTGCCACCCATAGTACTTTATAATCTATTTGAGTTCTCCCAAAAAAGTCAATTGTGATCTTAACCATATTTGGAAAAGATACAAACTGTGAGTTGAGGATATATATATTTTGATACAAATATTATCATCATCTGTCCAATTTTCCCAATAAAACTATACTCAACAATCTAACATAATTCTGTTCTTCTACCGAGTTTCCAATTCAACATTTGAGGCAAATTCCAAGCTAGTTATTAGTTATCCACAAAGGATGAACCTTTTAGGTCGACCTAGCTCCGAACTCCTTGGTTACAATGTGAACAAAGGCTGTAAAAATTTCGAACAGTCGTCTTCTGAAGCCTCTTCCTTTGATGGGTACTGGGTAACCCCATGTATAATGTATGAAGATACTTAAATATTGAAATTGCTACGATAAACGTGGGAATTAATTGACGACTTTCGAGTATTTTAAGTCGTCTTAGATTTTTACAATTTTTGTGAGGGAACATTATTCTTATTAGCATTATGCTTTAACAATTATCTCAAAAAATCAAGAATCTTTGTGGGGGGCCACCTTATTCAATAATAGAGTTTGGTCTTGTATATTGTCACAGATTATTCAATTATATAATTAATACTATTTTATCTTGGTTTTTAATGTATGGAAATATGAAGATGAAAATGTTAAATTAATTCAGGAAAGGGAAAGATCTCGCTGGGTATGTGCGGCAGATTCTCCCTGGCAGAGTTGGTTTCGGTAACCATCTCCGTTGGAGTTGTGTGCGTCTGGGTCCTCACAGGGCACTGGGCTCTCATGGACTTCCTCGGGATGGGTCTCTGCGTAGCCTTCATTGCGTTTGTGCGGCTGCCAAGCTTGAAGGTGTCCACCCTGCTCCTCACCGGACTTTTGCTCTACGACGTTTTCTGGGTCTTCTTCTCACAGGTTTAAAGAAACAAATACTTGATGCGTTTTTAATATTACTTTTTAACTCCTTCCTTGAAATACAGCTCGAGTTGAAAACTAATAAATGAAGCAAGTAAATTAGAATGTGTTTTTTTTACCATGAGATTTCTGAATTATACAGTTAAAAAAGAGTTCTAATTGTCATGTTTCGTGGGACACCCTTTTGTTCAACTACTTCTTAATCATTTATAAATAAACTGGGATTTTTGACACAAACTCAAATTTTATAACCCTTAAATTTTATAACCCCTATATCTTTGCAACCCAATGTCGTAGATCTTTGATATTCCAACTATGAATTCTTTTAGATCAAATAATCTAAGTTTGAAATATTAAAGGTTTACACCATAAGGTTGCAAAGACACAGTGATTCGAACATTTGAGTCAAATATAATTTTTTTTAAGTCATGTAAATGTTGTTATTGACTTAACATGTTTTTTAGTACGTATTCAGCGCCAACGTGATGGTTAAAGTAGCCACGAGGCCAGCAGAGAACCCAATGGGAATAGTTGCGCGCAAGCTCTCCCTTGGCGGAAGCATGGCTCGCAATGCCCCACGACTATCTCTACCCGGAAAACTGGTTTTCCCTTCAACACACAATGTTGGTCACTTCAGCATGCTTGGCCTGGGAGATATTGTAATGCCAGGGCTTCTTCTTTGCTTTGTCATGAGGTAATATTTTAGTTTTACTAAAAGTTTGGTATCATGAGTTTGGAGTATAAAATATTCAATAAACATCTCTCTCAAGAATAAAAATAGATGTTTTATGTAAAATAGAAATTTAGAAAATGTTTTAATAAAGGGTTTTAAGAAATAAGAGGGGGAAAATGTTAAACAAATTCCATTTTAAAGAAATGGATACTTAATGGATATAAATTTTTAACTTTTTCTAAAGTTAGATGTGATATTATAGATAAAAGGCTTTCAAGAATCATTAAGAATTTAATATGTTTTTTCCCAGTTGTTTATTTTTAACACTTAAATTCACAACAGCGTTTAAAATTATACAGCAAAATAACAAAATGAACTACCATCTAAAGAAAAGGGTAACTTTAAAAAGCAAAAAAAGCAGTTTACCAATATCTAGAAGTTAAACTAATTTCAATTTAGGTATGATGCGTATAAGAAGGCTCAGGCTGCCAAGTTAGCTGAGAATGGCATTCCTCTACCCTCACACTGGAATAGACTTTCCTACTTCCACTGCTCTCTCTTCGGATACTTCCTTGGGCTCCTCACTGCAACCATCTCTAGTGAGGTAGAAAAGAGATATTTGTATTTTTGGTTTGGATATTTACTCCAAAAAAATATCAACGATTATAAAAAGACAAAAGTCTTAACTTTTATCAATAATCGCTTCTGGATGTAATTCGATTTCGGTTTCAAGCTAAGATAAGAAAAATATTTTGATTCCAGGTTTATTTAAATTTTATAGATCCCTAAATACCTAAGCAAAACCTACAGTTTCCAGACCCGCAGCAGGTTTTACATGTTCTGCCGTTGCCAGACCGATAAGGCTGGTAAAACATTGTACAATTTCAAGACCCACGCATACTGTTCAACATATTCTTTAGTACAGGGTTACCCACAAAGGATGAGGCTGTAAAGACGACTAGAAACACATTAAATATGACTAACCCTTGTTTAAACTTAGTCTTCTGCTTTAAATATAGTATTTTATTTGTTAATATAATGATTTGGCAAAGAAACAGATAGTATAAAATCACTAGTCGTCTCTGAAGTCTCATCCTCTGTATCCCAAGCACATGGTTTAGCATATCCTGCAGTTTCCAGCCATATGCAGAAGGTTTATTACCAGGTTTATGAGAATTTACAATTTCAATGCTTCTTCTACAACTAGTTTAGAACTTAAAATTTCCAGACTCATGCTGCTGGTCAAGAACTTGTGTTTTCTTAGGCTTATCTTTCACTCTTGCTGATGACACCAACCCATTTCAGACCATATTGTTTTAAAAGCATTGATTCTCAAGATATCATTAAGCAACCATTGTTGCTGGGTTTTAATTAAATTTAGTTTTATTATCCAATATTATGTTTTAAAAACAACATAATTCAGGTATTCAAAGCAGCTCAGCCTGCCCTGCTCTACCTTGTTCCATTTACACTTCTCCCTCTACTAACCATGGCTTGGCTGAAGGTAGTCAAATATTTTTCAAGTATTTTTCAATTAAAAAAAATAGAATTAGAATTAATAAAATGTAATTTCAGGGAGATCTGAGATCCATGTGGTCCGAACCGTTCGCGACTCAGCCACCAAGCAAATTCCAAACAATCTGAATTTCATCTTGTAATCAAACATATTCATCCTACCAAACTCATCTAGTTTTTCTAAATCCTTCACACCAAGAATCAATTCTGTTTATTTAATATTCATCTCCTTCCATTCGTTACGAGACAAAAGCATAGGAGATCTAGATTTTCAGTTCTTAAAAGGTTATCATAACAACTAGATTTAGTCTGTTCAAAGTATTATTCAGATCTAAGCCTCCAAGGCCAGATTATGATACATAAAATTGAAGTAAATTTAACGTGATTCTGTTCAGCACTGTAATACTCCGAAAATGAGACGAATGTACCCAGTATAAAATCAATATTTAGTCATAAATTAATAGAAACCCTTGATATTTGATGAACAAGTACTTCGGTTTAAAATTATGTTCGTTCGCAACTGTTTAAGCAATGTCTCTCTAGTCTATGAAATCCTGCAGGATGCTTATTACTTATCCTAACCATCTTGAAATACTTGTTTATTTCAAGTTTATTGTTCGTTCTAGTTCGTTCCCACCCGTTCATCTTCAAGAAGGGCATTAAGTGTGTTGTTGGCTGTGCTGTGAATGGAATAATTCTCAATTATAATAGTTATTTACATTTTAATTACCATATGATTTGTGTGCATAATATTGTTGTACTTAGTACATAACATAGTTGTACCGTGTACGTGTTCCTAATCCTGTAGTGAATTGAATGTGTTTGTTGTATGTTTACATAATACTAGTTAATTTGTATCATGTGTTATTTAAGTATTGTAAAAACGTAAATTCTAATTTTGCCAAATATCAAATATTAATTTTAAAAATGATATTAACCACGTGATTATTAAGTTAACATTACATTCTGATAAAAGCTTTTTTTACATTCTCATTCTTATCAAGAAAACTCCATTCCATTTATTAGATCGAAATTATGAAAAGTCAATTTGTAAAATTATTTTAAAAAGAAATTAGGGATTAATTTTTTGTTTAAATTCTATTTCAATTTATGATACAGTGAAATCAAATAAATAGCGATATAGTTATCGTCTTTGTTATTTCGTAAGAGAAGAGACTCCACCAAGAACTTTGTAATCGATATCTTTGGAAATCTAATCTAATCATTTCCAGAGCTATATCAGTTGAAACACTTACCAACCTTAGCTGCATTTCTGATAAAGGAAGAACGAAGACGACAATGTTTCTTCTGAATATTGGTTGTCGTTTTATCAAGGCGAAACAAATTTAAATTCTATTAATGATTGTAAACCTTATCTAGAGTGACAAATAAAAGGATTAATAATATAAAATTAAATAATGAAAAAATAAAACAGAAATCCGCATTGAGCTTTTTATGCTCTTTTCATCAAGATTTAATGTGATGTTAATGAATTCCCATTCGTAGGAAGGTATTTAATGTGAATAATGCCTGACAAAAGACCCTTAAAATAATGTATACAACCCCTTTAATACTTTATATAACAACAATAAGAAGTTGAGAGTTGCATAGTTGCATAAATGATGTGGAAACTATCCGCCAAGATCCTGTTGTATAATTATTATCAGCAAAAACAAATGTTAAATGTAAAACTTCTGCACCCCAGTAATTCTGTAGATTTAAGATTTAAAAATAAATTTATAGAAATCACAGTTTTTATTCATTAAGATTTACAGGAAATACAATTTAGCACGATTAATTTTAAGAAACGTACCCTTCTAAACTGTACACTGTACGGCACAGGTGCAGTGCAAAGAACATAATGTACAGGTACTGAGATAGTGAGATAACTTCGACTAGAAATTACTCGATCGGTAAATGCTGCGGAATTATTGACTTTAGATGTTGCTGGATTTAAATATAATCTTCGACAAAACAAATACTTTGTAACATAAAAATAATCACGTTTTCATTTAGTTTTCATAAATGAAGTATTTTCAAATGCTTAACAATAAATAAATATCTGGTTTTTCATGATTTCTTTTTTCACATTTCACTTTTTAATTTCCGTCTCCCCTTTCAGTTCTACCTTCTCCTCTTGGAGTTGGAGTTCCATCTCCTCCTTTTCTATCTCCATGTCCATATCTTGCACCTTTAACTCCTGAAGAGAAGGAACAAAGTCCTCGTCCTCGTCCGTATCATCTATTGACTCCTCTTCGTCCTCAAATTCGTCTTCGTAATCCATTTCGAGTTTAATTTTCTTATCAGCGTTAACCTTAACAAATGTTCATAAATAAAGTATTTACATAAAAGATATAATCGTTTGAACTGTTCTCCCCCTGTCCTAGAAGTCTAATTATCATCATTCTTCTCCTTTTTGGGGTTGTAGTCTTCATCATCGTCAGAATCATCTACAGGTTCAAAGTCATCAGAATCATCGATAAAGTCACTTTCGTATTTATCTTCATCCTTCTTCTTCTGACGAAGCGCATCAACCTTGAATTTTATTATATACAGGGTGTCTCAAAAAAAACTGTGCAGTAGGGGTATCAGTAACTGAAGAAACAATCTTCGTTCAATTTTTACGATCAAGGTGTCATTCGAAAGCTCTATATTTCAGTTATTTCATGATGTAAAATTTTTCTTTCTAGGCCTCATACTTTTTTTGTTACAACCAATTATTTGAGCATAAGTCGAAAATCGATTTCCCGGATTTTTCAAATTTTTGATTTTTCATGTCTCATTTTCATTCGTTCATAAAGTATGGAAAAATTTAAAGATTTTCGAAATTTTTTTTTTAAATCATAAGCTGTTAGTCTTAGGTTTCATTTTTAACTAGAATTTTGGATCAGCGATTATTACTTTTGAAGCTAGAGCAATCTAAGAATAGAAATATGCATTGAAAAAAAAACGAAAAGAAAGCTACGGGTACCTCCGTACGAACCTTGCCCAGACCAAAAAAATAATTTTTTTTTAAATTTTCTTTTTGAAATCAGTTGGTACAATCCACAGCTCGCTATTTCAATCAAATTTTTTTTATCTAACCCACCAGGGTACAAAAATAAAACATTTTTTTCTGAATCTGAAATTACAAAAAAAAAACTTTTAAAAAGTCATCACTTTAATTAATAATATTTTTACTTTAGAAATGATGTTCACGCTTTCATTTGTTATTAGTCCATTTATATGATAGGTTCAAGGTATTAGGTAGTTAAATAGGCCAAAAATGTTGTAAATTTTTTTCAGGGGCCTTCTAAGGGACTGTTCACGCAACAAAAAAATAACACATTCTCAAATGTAAACTTATGTCTTTGAGAGCACAAGCCGTCCAAGGTATCGTTTTATAGGTAAAAGCATATGCATGTTTCAACAATGATATTGGTTTTTGAAAAAATTTACCACCGAGGTCATTATCCGCAAATTTGATTTCTAAGGGGTCATTTTAGGAGGTCAAATTATTTTAATAGCACACAAATATCGTCATGGGTGTCTAAACAGGGGTAAACGCCCATGGTAAGTCCATTTTCAATCTTTTTTTTCGAAAATTTAACTCCCGAGGCCACAACTGCCCATTTTGACCTCCAAGTGGTCATTTTGGAGGCCATATTATATCAATAGAGCACTCATACCGTCATGGGTACCGAAATAGGGGCACATCCACATGGTGAATTCATTCTTACTATTCTTATGTCATTAACATTTCCGTCTACGGCACTTTTGACCTCCCCCCCCCAACCCGCTGTTTTTGCTAATCTTCAACCTGCAAATTAATTGATCAATTATAGTTTACAAATCTCATTTATGTGCTTTGAGAATGTTTTTATTGAATAATTTTGTTGATATTTTTCCACTTGGATCCGCATATTGAATAACACAAATATACAAGTAAGATTCAAAGATTTAGATAAACTATTGCTAAAATGGTAAATGGGTGTCATTGTGCAAACAAGGCAAGGATTACATAAAACAGGCCGATCTCTGCTACACTAAGGTCGGCAAATATTTCTTTAATCTAAACCATTCCCACACAAAATACAGTTTTGGTATCTTTCCTTTCAGCAACGAATAGACAGACACAAGCCCTGTCATAATTTTGCTATTCTAATATATTATTTTCTATTCTTTAGAGAGAATTTACTATTCACCTTTGCTCTGCGTTTAGGCTGCGGAACTCGGGTATGTTTATAATTCTTCTTATGCTCCGGGTTCTTCCTATAGCAGGCGGTTCCGTGCTCACATTCAGGTCTGGAATCATCCTCATCAGTATCTTCATCCTTAGATTGAAAATCTGAATCTCCGGGATGACTGTACTCCTTGAAATGACTGGGATTTTTCCTGTAGCAGCTAGCTCCATGTCTACAGGGCCGTTTTCCTTTAACAAAATGAAGAAGTTTTATTAAAAAATAATGTTAAATTCATTAAATCTCAGCAATATTTATACACTTACTGTTGTTTGGTTTAGGTTTAGGTTTTGGTTTGGCAGGTTTCTCCTCATCACTGTCCTCTAGGTCTGAAGGAGTAATAACAACAGGAAACTTGGAACCACTCGGCTTAGAATCTTCTCCATCAGACTCATCCTTAGATTTATGGCCATCGGACTCATCGGAACCTTTTGGAGATCTAGCTCCGGGTGGGGTTGTAGAACCACTTTTTTTCTTTGGAGGGGTGGTTTTGAGCTTTCTCGCTGAATCTGGGGAGATTGGTTTCTGTAAAGTATTATGCTCATCCTTCCTTCCGGATACTTTACGATGTTTAGGCTTAGTTCCAGTTTCCCTCTGGTTTTTAGGATGTTTAGGCTTGGTTCCGACATTATGATGGGCATTGGGAGAAACTCCCCCCTCTCCAGAGCCTGACGACTTTTTACTCGTAAAACTTTTTCCAGGGGATTTAGAAGATTTCCAGTCTCCAGAGCTGTCAGCACCTTCTATAACATAAGAAAATATATCTATATATGGGGGGGGGGGGCATAAAACGTATTACTCTCCTGGAAATTTAAACAGTGTGTAAACATAACTTAGCATTGTCCTAGGAGACTGATTTTTTGCATGCGAACTAAAAATTATATAAATTACATACATTTTTTGGTTTCAAACGGATCTGAGCAATAGTGCGCGTGCGCGCGCTCTTTGTGAAAAAAATACGACATTTTTTTAACAGTAGATCAATCTTAACTTCATTTATTGCAATTGAACATTTATCCTGATACTCTTAAACAAATATGCTCTCAAAAAATTCACCTCCAAAGCCTTAAATGTCCGCGCGCGCGCAATAGGAGAAAATATCTTTTAATACGTATGTGTTAAGCTTGGCCTAAGTCAGACTAAAAGTAGCATGAGATACATCAAACTATAGCAAAATTAGGACAAGGAATTCATTTTCGAGGTCAAAATAGACATTGGACCGGCGCGTTTGTAGCCAGCAGTTACATTATGGTTCATCTTAGAACAGATTTTACATGTTGTATGTCGATTAATAGGTAATTGGGCACGAGGAATTCATTTCTGAGGTCAACCTAAATATTGGAGCATTCTGACCGGCGCGCTAGTAGCCGGCAGTTACATATGGGTCATCTTAGCACAGATTTTAAATGTTTTATGTTTATTAATGGGTAATTGGGCACGAGGATTCCATTTCTTAGGTAAAAACTTTTGTAAGACCTCTCTGATCGACGCGCTAGCAGCCAGCAGTCACCTTCTGGGTCATTTCATGCCCCCCCCCCTAGCTTGTCTGTCTGTTTTTTATTTTTGAAAATTTTGAAAATGCGCGAAAAAGTATTATGAAATCCGCAAACTTTTTTTGTTTTTGTTTTACACGTACAAAGAGAAGATGCTCACAGATAAATCCATCGTTAAAAGTTGAAATAGAAGATGGGCGCGAAGCGCCCTAAAAGCCCATTTAGTATATATATAAATTTAGCTTGTTTGGGTGGGTGTTTGTTTGTTTGTTTCCAATAAACGTCAAAACGGCTGTACCGATCAGGCCAAATTTTGTTTGGGACCTCACGTGGCCCCAGAGGGTTTATGAATGATCAAAATTTCACATATTTGTCTCCATCAAAATTCGATTTTCATTAAATTTTTGAAAATTTTGAAAATCCATTAAATTTTGATAAAATCCGCGAACTTTTTCTTGTTTTGTTTTACGATGTACACAAAGAGAACATGTTCACAATTAAAATAGAAGATGGGACCTCACATGACCCCGAGGAAGGTTTATGGATGGTCAAAATTTCAAAAATTTGCCTCCAACAAAGTTAAATTTTCCTTAAATTTTGTAAATCCACGACATTTTTTTGTCTAATAATGTATACAAAGAGAAAATGTTCGCAATTGAAATAGAAGATGAGCCTAGTAAATATAAAATAGTGTTAAGAACTCAAAATAAAAATGAGATCAGCGAAGAAAAGCTACCTGAGCCTTTCTTGTTTTTGAGCATCCAGTCTGGAAGCCTTCTTCGCGGTTTCTTATTAGATCCCGACTCTACACCTGTAGCTACCGGAGCAGGTTTAGACGGTTTCTTGTTAGATCCTGACTCAACACCCGTAGCTACCGGAGCAGGTTTAGACGGTTTCTTGTTAGATCCTGACTCTACACCTGTAGCTACCGGAGCAGGTTTAGACGGTTTCTTGTTTTCCTTTTCATCCTCTTGCGGCTCCACTTTCCGTTTCTCTTTCTCCGCCTCCGGTTTGTGGTTAGGTTTGATCTCATTTAACTTTGATCCATGTGCATTCGCGTTATCTTTCTCCGACTGTGGTTTGGATTTCACTGAATGGCCTTCTTGATTTTGTGTAGATTTCTCTGATAAAGATTCTACTGTCTCCGATTTTGGTTGAATTTTTGTTGGTTTTTCAGGTTCTGGATCATACTTTTCCTGTCTGGATTCAGGTGAAGATTTCTCCTTCTCAGATTCTCCTCGGAGATGATTCTGTGATTCTGGTTTAGCATCTTGAGATGGATCCGAGTCAGGTCTACTCTTTTTCAACTTTGGAGATGGCGGAATTTCCACCAAAGATTCTGATTTCAAAGGTTTACTCTGATCTGATATTGCTTCCGCTCTAGACTTCTCAGGAGAACTTGGAGCTGACATTTTCTGATCAGTTTCGTTGTCTGACTCGTCTGTTAGAAGATCAAGACTGTAATGGAACTTATCCTCGCAGAACTTGATGACGTCTCCATCCTTGATCTCGTTCTCCTGATCCTTAGAAACCTCGACCTCAGACCCACCTGTAACTACCTTCACAGGGTTCCTATAAAGGGCAATAATATGATACATTTCCTATTTAAATTCATAAGTATTTTTTCTTCTCAACTTAAATAGCCGGGTATAAGATAGATTTCTTCACAATTTAAACTTAATAATTCCAGCAAAGTTAAAATCTAATTTTCACCTAAATATTTGGCTTTTTTATTTTATATGTATTGAGGTTAAACCCCTTCTTGCTTACACATACATTCATCTTAATTATAAAGGGATTATTAAAATGTATTTTTAGATCTTTTTTTTGGAATTCTGCATGAAGGACAGATTTTTGGACAATTCTGTTCAAAAATAAGTTTGATCATGTTTAAGGTGAAAAATGACAGCTAAATATTAAATTTTAATGCTACTAAGCAGCTGAACTCTGTTCAAGACTTGAAGATTTTTTAGCGTTACATTTTATTTTACCTGTGTAAGCATTTTAGAACCAGTTTCCCATCCTTTAGATTAACCGACACATGCTTCCTGTTATCAGAAAATCATTTTATCTTAATAACTTAATTACTAAATTTTTCCTCGATAAATATATCCAACTTGTAAATAAATTATACATCTATTTATACTCTGCTTGTCTGTCCTTTTGTATCTTATAAACGTTAAAACGGCTCAACCGATCGACCAAATTTTTTTTGTGGAAACTCACATGACCCCAAGAAAGGTTTAAGTATGGTTAGAACTGAAATAAATTGCCTTAAAACAAAATTTGAATTTTCAAAATCTACGAAAAAAATAGATAAATCAGCGAATGTTTTATTATTTTTTATTTTACCAATGAGAATAGAAAAATTGGTATAATTTCATTTCTTCAAATGGAGCTGTTATGCATGCAGAGTGCTTGTAGATCAGCAAAAAACTAGAACTAAGGGCGCTATTTACGCCTACTTAATTTAAGAAATTCTAATAATACATTGAGATTTCCTGCCTGGATATACTGGTAGCATCTATCCTAAGGGTTGGACCCCGACCTAGTAGAACACCATCCTTTCCAACATCCAGGGGAACATCGTCACCTCCTGACTCATCTAATTGATGGAGCACAACACGCATTCTTGATCTGAAACACAATCATATGCATAAAGATATTATAAACAAAAATAGAATTTCTCAAAAAAACATGGTAACAAGAAAATCAGAATAAAGTTCATTAGTTTTTGTAAAATTAACTAACTCAAATCAACTGTTAAAATCAACATTTTTTTTTTATAATCATTAGAAAATTTATAAACAAGGGGTTAATTTTTTATGATTAAGATCTATTCACTTAACCAAGTCCAGTAAATACAAAATAAAACAATGAAAGATGTTTTAAGAGAATTAAAATAACAAAAAACATTCTTATAAAACAATAAAGCTATATATATTTTTTTCATTTTCATAACTCTTTTCTTCTTTTATAAATTGTGAACTTGCAGAAGCCATAAATATTTTACAATCTAATTGATTTAAAACTTAAACTGCAAAGGTTCATCTGTCAATAAAAACATTTTTATTAAAAATTTTCAAATTATCAATTAAGTCATAAGTACGGATTAGTGCTTTTTGATGAAACTACCAAATAAGCTCCAACCTCTCTGTAGGGAGTTGATGAAAGATGCAGACATTGGGCGTTTGATTCAAGAGAATTGACAAAATTACTATTTGGGAAATTGCTTTTATGAAATAGTTGAAATTGCATGCCCTAGCTAAATTACACCTTGACATATTCTAATTCTAGTTATAAATTAAATACAAATAAAATTTACGGTACAAAAAAAATCAACTCTAAATTAGGTTTTATATTTAGATCTTAAGTTTTATAATCAGATCTACATTCAGATCTCAGGTTTACGAGAATGCTTGAGTTTTTTCAGATGCTCCGGGTTTTTCCTGTAGCAGAGAACACCGAACTCGCACTCTGGCCTGGAGTTTAAAGCTGCAGTATCCGTGAGATAATAATCGTGATCTCCAGGATGACTAAAAACCAGGCTATGGGGAAAATATCCGCATTTGCAGTTTTTTCCGAACTGACAAACTTCTACTCAACTGTGAATAGATATTTTGCAATTAACATAACTTTTTAGAGTTTTTAAGAACATGAACAGATTTTCATTAAAAGAATGTCTAATGTTATAAAAAATCCTAAATGCAATGCAATGAATAAAAATTATCGTTGATTACTGAAAGTCGACGAAAATGTACAAAAAATAATTTGTTCTGCATTATTTCTTATAGGGAGTGACCGGTAATGTATGGCAGTTGAACTGAGAATGTAGTGTTGAGAAGATATTTGTTTGAATTCATTTGAGACATATAAAACGTTTTAAATGATTTCTAAAAAATTTCTCCACAATACGACATTCTCAGTACCATACATTGCCGGTCACTCCCTTTCATGAAAAAATGATTTTAGTTAAAATAGCTCAACTAATAGGAACAGACTGAAAAAGGTAGAACACATTTAGTAAATTTCAGGGTTAAAGGTGTATGATGTTAGTTATAGGAGAAAGAAATAAAATTCAAACAATTTAATGCTGCGTAAATTAAAAAGTGTGAATGTACCTATATGAAAAAAATGACTTGATTTTAACTAGAATATATGGAGATTCGTTTAGATACACATCTTACCCGGATTCTCCAAATTCTCCCTTCCAGTCTTGATTCCAGTCTTGACAGTGAACAGAGACATCACAGATTGTGTTATAAAGCTTATTGGACTTCTCTGAACAGAGTTATTTATAGAACCTCTCATCTGGTAACATGGAAATTTTTCCTCCACTGCCTCAACTGCCGGTTCTATTTCGTCAGGTCGTAACTTCCATCTGCCTTTCTTTGTTTTAGTTCTTTGCACCAACTTTCCTGAGAGTTGATTTGTTAGGCCTTGGTTAATATATGGGCCACTCTGCAAGCTGGGATTATTAGATATCTGGGGAGAGTTTGGACTAGGTTGAACCGATACCGGAGAAATGTTTGAACAAGGTTTAGCAGGTATCGTAGAACTGCTTAAACCAGGTTTAACACGTGACAGGGAACTCCTTGAACTAAGTTGAACCGATACCAGAGAAATGTTTGAACAAGGTTTAGCAGGTATCGTAGAACTGCTTAAACCAGGTTTAACACGTGACAGGGAACTGCTAGAACTAAGTTGAACCGATACCGGAGAACTGTTTGAACATGGTTTAGCAGGTTTCGTAGAACTATTTAAACCAGGTTTAACACATGACTGGGAACTGCTTGAACTAAGTTGAACCGATACCGGAGAACTGTTTAAACAAGGTTTAGCAGGTTTCGTAAAACTGTTTAAACCAGGTTTAACACGTAACAGGGAACTCCTTGAACTAGGTTGAACCGATACCAGAGAAATGTTTGAACAAGGTTTAGCAGGTATCGTAGAACTGCTTAAACCAGTATCTTCATCCTTTGATTGATAATCTGAATCTTCCGGATGACTGTACTCCTTGAAATGACTGGGATTTTCCCGGTAGCAGCTAGCTCCGTGTCTACAGGGTCCTTTTCCTTAAACAAAATGAAGAAGTGTTACTAAAATATAATAATAACATTAGCTTCAAAGTCGTTAAAATCTTAGCAGTATTTATAAACTTACTGTTGTTTGGTTTTGGTTTAGGTTTTGGTTTGGCAGGTTTCTCCTCATCAATGTCCTCTAGGTCTCCGGGATGACTGTACTCCTTGAAATGACTTGGATTTTTCCTGTAGCAGCTACTTCCGTGTCTACAGGGTAGTTTTCCTTAAACAAAATTAAGAAGTGTTACTAAAATATAATAATATTAGCTTTAAAGTCATTAAAATCTTAGCAATATTTATAAACTTACTGTTGTTTGGTTTAGGTTTAGGTTTTGGTTTGGCAGGTTTCTCCTCTTCACTGTCCTCTATGTCTGAAGGAGTAATAAAAAGAAACTTTAAAACACTGTGTTTAGAATCTTCTCCGTCAGACTCATCCTTAGATTTGTGGCCATCGGACTCATCGGAACCTTTTGGAGATTTAGTTTCGGGTGGGGTTGTAGAACCACTTTTTTTCTTTGGAGGGGTGGTTTTGAGCTTTCTCGCTGAATCTGGGGAGATTGGTTTCTGTAAAGTATTATGCTCATCCTTCCTTCCGGATACTTTACGATGTTTAGGCTTAGTTCCAGTTTCCCTCTGGTTTTTAGGATGTTTAGGATGTTTAGGGGTGGTTTTAAGTTTTCTCACTGAATCTGATCCTGACTCTACACCCGTAGCTACCGGAGCAGGTTTAGACGGTTTCTTGTTAGATCCTGACTCAACACCCGTAGCTACCGGAGCAGGTTTAGACGGTTTCTTGTTAGATCCTGACTCAACACCCGTAGCTACCGGAGCAGGTTTAGACGGTTTCTTGTTAGATCCTGACTCTACACCTGTAGCTACCGGAGCAGGTTTAGACGGTTTCTTGTTTTCCTTTTCATCCTCTTGCGGCTCCACTTTCCGTTTCTCTTTCTCCGCCTCCGGTTTGTGGTTAGGTTTGATCTCATTTAACTTTGATCCATGTGCATTCGCGTTATCTTTCTCCGACTGTGGTTTGGATTTCACTGAATGGCCTTCTTGATTTTGTGTAGATTTCTCTGATAAAGATTCTACTGTCTCCGATTTTGGTTGAATTTTTGTTGGTTTTTCAGGTTCTGGATCATACTTTTCCTGTCTGGATTCAGGTGAAGATTTCTCCTTCTCAGATTCTCCTCTGAGATGATTCTGTGATTCTGGTTTAGCATCTTGAGATGGATCCGAGTCAGGTCTACTCTTTTTCAACTTTGGAGATGGCGGAATTTCCACCAAAGATTCTGATTTCAAAGGTTTACTCTGATCTGATATTGCTTCTGCTCTAGACTTCTCAGGAGAACTTGGAGCTGACATTTTCTGATCAGTCTCGTTGTCTGACTCGTCTGTTAGAAGATCAAGACTGTAATGGAACTTATCCTCGCAGAACTTGATGACGTCTCCATCCTTGATCTCGTTCTCCTGATCCTTAGAAACCTCAACCTCAGACCCACCTGTTACCACCTTTACAGGGTTCCTATAAAGGGCAATGGTATATTTCCATTTTTAATTTAAAGTATTCTTAGTAAAGATAGTTATCTTCACAACTCAAACTTGATAATTTCAACAAAGTTCAATTTTCTTCTAAATATTTGGTTTTTTATTTATTTGATATATATTGAGGTTTAACCCCTCCTTGCTTACGTTACGTACATTCATCTTAATTATAAAGGAATCTTAACAATTATATTTTTAGATCTTTTCTTTGAAATTTTGCATGAAGGACAGATTTTTGGACAATTTTGTTTTTAATATATAGGTTTGATCAAGTTTAAGGTGCAAAATTACCATCAAATATTAAATTTTAATGGAACTGAGCAGCTGAACTCTTCAAGACTTGAAGATTTTTTAGCGTTACATTTTATTTTACCTGTGTAAGCGTTTTAGAACCAGTTCCCCATCCTTTAAATTAACCGACACATGCTTAGTTTCCAATGATAATCTTTGATTTAAATGGTTGGTTGGATCAGGCTGAACATTTCTCTGTGGGTTGGTGGACTCGGGGTGAAAATTTGTCGACGGGTTGATAGGAAAGAAGTGGACATATCTTTGCGGGTTGGTAGGAAAGTGTTGAACATTACTCCGCGGGTAGTTAGTATTAGAGTAAACATTACTTTGGTGGTTGGTAGACTCAGAGAGACAATTTGTTGACAGGTTGATAGGAAAGGGGTGGAAATTTCTGAACTGGTTAGTTGGATGAAGGTAGACATTTCTTAGCGGGCTAGTAGGATTGGTGTAAACATTACTCCGCTGGTTGGTAGGATTAGAGTAAACATTACTCAGCTGGTTGGTAGGATTAGAGTAAACATTACTCAGCTGGTTGGTAGAATTAGAGTGAACATTGCTCAGCTGGTTGGTAGGATTATGGTGAACATTACTCAGCTGGTTGGTAGAATTAGAGTAAACATTACTCAGCTGGTTGGTAGGATTAAGGTGAAAATTACTAAGCTGGTTGGTAGAATTAAAGTGAACATTACTCAGCTGGTTGGTAGGATTAGAGTTAACATTTCTCAGTGGATCGGTAGGATTAGAGTGAACATTACTCAGTGGATTAGTAAGATTAGGGTGAACATATCTTCGATTAGAAATTGTTGAGAGTGAGGAATGATTCTGAAATTTGTTCCGGATCTGATTATCAGGAATCTCCGGAGAGCTTGGTTTATCTTGAAATTTCTCCAAGGAATAGAAATTTTGCAGAGTAACATGCTTACCTTCAGGTAAACCTTTCCCTTGTTTCATCAATTCTTTTATTTTATCAGGTGATACGGGTCTAACAAACAGAATCTTTTTAGGCTTCCCATCTGCTTCAACCTCCTCCGGGGTTTTTACTTTTTTCCTGATATCAAGATTTTCAGAAGCACTGCTAGGATTATCCCGTAGTTTACGGAGAGAGTCCGGAGAGACGGGACGAACGGAGATTAGCTTTTCCATTTTCTCAGTTCAACATTCACCTGCAGATATAAAAATTGATATACAAGGAAGAAGAAAAGCTTAAATAAATTTGAAAAAGATGATTCGCGACAGGTTTTTCTCAACCCAACCGTACCCTTGTGCGGTAAAAGGACGATATGCTCTTTTCCCATACTGCATCCTTTGAAAGGAAACCCGTTTGAGTCCAAATTGAGTTATCCGTTAATTTATTTCAGAATGTTTATCAGTCGAATCGATATTGAATTTGGAAATGTTGAAATAGTAGTAGGTCTCAAAAAGACAACTGCAGGAAACGAATATTAATAGAGAAAACAAATTGGCTCGGTAAAAAGAACAGTTTTTAGCCTTGATAAATATTTATATGTTGATAAAATTAACATTACGCAGGTTGAGAATATCTCTAGATATCCTAATCATTATTTTCTTTTTTTGTCGACTTTTTATATTTATTTGACCCTTGTCATATTGCATAGAAATAACTCGAAAGTTCTTTAGATTGATTTCCTAGAAATGAAAGGTTCACTTGTCGTTGGATCACATGTCGTTGAATCACTTGTCGTTGAATCACTTGTCGTTGGATCACATGTCGTTGAATCACTTGTCGTTGGATCACATGTCGTTGGATCACTTGTCGTTGGATCACATGTCGTTGGATCACTTGTCGTTGGATCACATGTCACAAGATCAAATGTTGTATCACCGTAGAAAGTATTAAATATTGATCCACTGAATTTTTTACAGTTTTGTTAAAAAGATACAGCAATACCATCTCCCATCTCATTTGAGAACACACTAGATCTGAAATTACGATAAACATTCTTTGTTCAGTATAAATGTAGAAAAATATGTAACTGTAGTATTATTCATAACTCCTGAAAGACTTAAACTAATCACAAGTTATTTTCGCTACAGTTTCATCCGTTTTAACATTATCACGCACATTTAATTTTCAACGTAAAAAATCTCCTAAGGAGGAGAATATCATGCCCAGGCCTTCTGCTTCTAATGTCATAATTTTGCCAAATCCATTTAAATTTTCAAGAAAAATGTCTATTCGAGAAATATAAAATATTTTAAAATGTAGAACCATGACGATAACATATGTAAACACTTAAAAGTATTCACAAACATAATTTAGAATTCTTGATGATTTCTGCAGAGCCCACAGCCTAGAGTGAACTCCTGGCCAGCGACAGGATGTTTTACTTTAAGCGGACAAGTAGTCCCTCCACTGCACGAGGGTAGTCCACTTCGAGATCCACCCCACAGCCGTCCAGCGTCGTTGTGGCATCGGTTGCAGAAATGAGTTGCTCCTGTGGAAAAAAAGATTTTAAGAATATGATTAATTGAATACTTAGTTAAAAATGTATTGAGTTTTAGTACCGCCGCAGAAGAAAACAGCTATCGAGCAACAGTAGCGGCATTTATACTCGAGAAACTCAGCCCCATGCCGAGGACATCTCTGCGTCTGAAACAAACAAGAAGGGTAACATAAAGTCTACATATATACACATATATATATATACAGGGTCAAGGGTGAGAAAAAAAAATCAGGGATTATCGATGTTTTGGACTAAATTTTCAACAAACAAAATTTGTTCGGATTTTAGAAATAAATAAAATGAAATGTGATTTTAAAAAATAAAAACATTTTAAACATTATAAAAAATCCGCGAAACCAATTTTTTTGAAAAAATTAAAATTTTTAACAAAATTGTTGGGAACAAGTTTATTCTATTGTTTTCCAAAATTTTATAAAAATTCTTCAAAAATTGAATGATATAACAAAAAAAAAACGTGAGCCAATTATTTGCATTTTTGAAGTCTTAACAGCTCTATGGTTATAATTTGATAACATTTACTGCAAATTTCAACTCGAAATTTTTTTTCGGATTTTTGAAAATTTTGTCTAAATCATCGATAATACCTGTTTTTTTTAACTCACCCTGTATATAAATAATATCTGCCGAATGTACAATGTACATGCTATGACAATTCGTTACTAAAGGTTTGTTACGCTACTGCCCGCTTAAAAACCAATATAATGAAGGCCAATATTTTATGACAGAATAGGCTAAGTCAAGAGAAAAAATAGCATTATAGGAAAACTAATGTCGAAATGGCCCCCCCAACCCCACAAACATCCTTACATTTGAAACATCACTGCAACTTCCACAAAGAAGGTCCTTGGGATCAAAGTTGTTGTCCACACCAAGAATCTGTTCACACCTTAAAAGAAAAACTGAAATTATGATAAAAATTGCAATAGACGTATTTAATGACAAACCTCGCTTCTCCGCCACAATAAGCTTTGCCGCATTTAAAGCAGTTATAGTACGCGTATCTATCCATAGCAAATCCTATGAGTACATTTCATTAAATTAAATGATATTAAAAAATAGATTAAAAGATAAGAGTAGTTTTCATTAGATAATAAGATAATATTAAAACACAATAGTTTACATTAAATAAATATAAAACATAGATTAAAATCCTGGGAGTACATTTTCGTTAAATAATTTAAATCATAGAAATAATTTTCATTAAATAATAATAAAACATAGATTCTAATCTAAAATAGTAATTTACATTAAATATTATAATAGATTCAAAGAACCAGTTTCATCAATTTATACCTGCTGGATCATTGAACCAAACTGATCCAAGCTTAGTGAGAGACTCACAATTATCTAATCCTTCGTGCTTCAACCTCATCACAGCCTTCAGTATAAATACTTTAAGAGAATAGATTTAATCTAGATGAATGCACAAATGACTTAAAACAGTTTAAGTACTGTGAACTTGGCTCGTTACAATAGTCCAACCACTAAGGGAAAAAGCTCTGATGAGTTTATTGCAGGGGTGTATATTTTCTCGAAAATCATTACTTATCTCGTGATACTAAATATGTTTGTCAGAAGCGATTTTTTTATATATTCGCTAAATTGAAGAATTTAATGATTTAAAGTGGAAAATAAATGAAAGAGGGTAAAAAGTATAAATATTATTGAAAAAACTTGCCTTCTGATGAACACTTTTCATTTCTTCCCACAGAGTAATCCAGCCCCGGGGCCGAAGGTTGTAATTTTTTGGAAAATATATACCCCTGGTTTATTGTTCAGATTTTGAACTAATAAAACCATGACAGTCTCTATCTATTTAATGTGTTTGCTTTCTTTTGTTTACCTTCTTCTTGACATCGTCTCTGAGTTCTTGAATAGGTTTGAGAATATCGTTTAGAGAAGTATGATTGATTTCCACCTAGAATTAAGCTGAAGTACAAGAGGTATGCAGTTAGAAATATACGTCGTTTGTATGTCATGTCCAATCAACTAACAAATCAACCTGTTAAACATCTAACCAACCAACAAACTAAAGAACGAAGCAAACAACCAACAATTAAACCAAACAAAGAGCCAACCAACCTACCAACTAACCAACCAAGCAAACAACCAATAATTTAACCAACCAACCAACCAACCAACCAACCAACCAACTAACCAATGAAGCAAATAATCAATAATTCAACTAACCAACCAACCAGCCAACCAAACAACCAACCAACCAATCAAGCAAGTATCCACCTACCAACCACTCCACCTACTCCAACCACCAAACAGAGCTCTTACTTTGCAAATGGGGCACTGAGAGAAACCAAACCCTATCCTAGCTCCTGGCCATCTTGCTTTCAGAAGATTCCTGTTAAAATATGTGGTATGGACTCATTAAAATTTTTGAAAGGTTTCAGACAGAGGGTGTATTTTCTCGAAAATTTTTTTTTTCCCTCCCCCCTCTTTAAATTTTTTCCCCAGAAGTTATATATGTTAGCGCGGAGCGGCACATTATTTTAGGGGAAAATATATGAATAAAATAAAATAAAAGAATTCAAACAACAAAATATTAACCAACCACCGATCTTGAATAAACATTGAATATTTGTAACCTGACACAGCTGAAATGAAACACATGACCACATGTTAGAAGAATGCTTGGAATAGGATATAAACCAAATGTCAGGCAGATCGAGCAGTCATCGGTCTGATTCTGAAATAAATAAAACATCTTTAATAAAAATATTTCCCCCCATCACTTGAAAACTATTTCTTCCTCGAGATGTTTGTGTGTTTTTTTTTTCAAAATTAATTATTGAGTTAAGTATCAAAAAAAACTAAAATAAGAATTTTCCGCAACCTGTTTAGTTCCTTGACTGCATCCTTGTAAACAGGGTAAACACACTCGTTCTCCTGAATAAAGATAAGAATTAAATATAATATGTATAGAAAGAGCCAGAAAACCTTGGAATAGACAGAAGATGACTTTAAGACTAAAATTATAACTTCAATAGTCCAATGAACATGAGACACTGCAATTTCGCAGTGTTAACATGCCCATTTAACTTAGTAAGTGATTTAATGACTTACTAGTAAAAGTATTTGCATTGAAATAACATCAAATGCATCGTATTGCTTTTATGTTGTCTTCCCTTTCTACAGTTTTCTAGTTCTCATTTTACAACTAGCTTGGAAACCCGACTTTGCCTGGTAAATAGACTTTCTCTAAAAAAGTCAACCTACTCAACTCAGAATTAAAAACCAAGCTGATTAATGAAAACATTCTTGGCTTCTGCTTTAGCAGTCGTTTGTCATTAAACAGTCCAAGAATTTCACCTCTATCGTTTGAATACAAATGCCCCCGACTATCGTCCCTATTAATCATTAAGATGATTTCAGAAAATAAAAATAGAGACGACTTCCTATTCTATTAATTCATGCACGACTATTAAAACAATCAAGCATCCTTTGAGCATTCTAATTTTTTCAAAGTAAACCTGTCAGTTTATTGTCAAAATTTAAGACAAATTCTAATTGGTCGAGTGGTTAATGAGTTATGATCGGACATACAAACAAACAAACTAACAGAGATTCTTACTTTATTTATGTAGATAAAACCCGCCACCCCTTTTTTCTTCTCCTTAAAAGACTCATATTCCGGTCAACGAGCTATACTTTAATTAATTATACAATCCTTTAATTTTCTGACGCCTTTGTGTATTATCTACCATACGGATCTTTTAAATTCCTTTGAATTTATGTAAAACATAAAATAAAATCTATAAATTGTAAACCTTTAATGCCTCCACAAGGATGACCACAGGGATTATATTTGGAGCAGGATAGTTCAAAGCTCTCTTGACAATCCTTGTCCTTGCATACTCCGTGCAGGACCGGAGTCTTGTCAGGATTATAGAACTCACCACAATACCTAGTTTATAATATCTCAGGGTTTATATTATCTTTTATTAACAATATTTGAGCAAAATGCGATGTATCCGTCGACAAGATACCACGCGCCGTTGTGAATCGTTACTGACACTCATAAATAGATCACCATTTTATAAATTTTCTTTTTACCCGTTTAGAAGTAAATAAAAACAACACTTTTCGTAATTCTAGATTAATAAAAATAATAAATATGGGTTCCTACTTAAATTGCAACATTCAAACATTAACAACTTTTTGGGAAACTATTTTTGCAATATCAATATTATTGACATTATTCAACTATAAAAATTGTTATATTTTTGACAGAAAGTTTTTAATTAAGAAAGTGTATATTAATAGCTCTGCTAGCATTTTTTGAGGTTTGATAAATATTGTAATGATAAAAAAATATTATTTCCGGAAAATTTCAATTATTCTAAAGACTACAAGAGAGTGGAAAGAACTAACTAAAATAGTTTTGAATGTGCAACTTGGCTGATTTCACCTTACCTGCATAAATTAGGACTAAAATCCTTCCTGGCAGGTAGAGTTTGATCATCTTTCCGTGCTACCAAAGCTGGATCAACTTTCCGTACTACCAAAGCTGGATTAGCTGGAAGTGCTGAAATTCCAGACCTGCGCTCTTCTCCTGGTTTACGAGTGTGCTTGTACTTAGACTTATGCTCCGGGTTCCTCCTGTAACAGAGTAGCCCAAACGTACACTCGGGTCTCTCGTCTCCGTCCTCGTCCGGGATATAATCCTCATCCCATGGATGACTTTCCACCAAGAAATGATGGAGATTCTGACGATAGCAGATCTTACCAAATCTACAACTTTTCCGAGGACCTACAGTAAAGCAGGTGTGTAATTTTCTCAAAAAATTACCCCCCTTCCCCCCAAGAATTTTGGCTTAGGGTTTTAATTGCTAAATTAGTAAATATTAATGATTTTGGGGTAAAAAGTATAAAACAAATGAAAAAAGTTGCCTTATGATGTCAAATTTTTCAGTTTTTCCCCCAAATCATCAAAATAATTTCATTCCTCCTCCCAAGATGAAATAGAATCCCTTGAAGTAAAGAAAGAAAAGTAACAAAAAGAAGGCAGATACAGCAGCTTTCTTTGTTTTCGGTGTTGCATTGTGCCCTCCGCTCTCCCACCAATAAGACTATTAAAGCTTTGAAGGATTTTTTCCCCCTAGCCTGTCCTTGCCGCGGCGCTCGGCCCCCTAGCATATCTTAGCCGCAGCGCTAGGCCCAGAAGATCTCTTAAAATAACACAACCCTAAATCTATAACAATTTTGTTAACAGTTGTTGAAATTGAAAGTCTGTCCTGGCCGCAGCGCTCGGTCCCCTGTCGTACCCTAGCCGCAGCGCTCTGCCCCCCAGGCATATCCTAGCCGCAGCGCTCAGCCCAGAAATTGGCCTAACCTGACCTAACCCTGAAATGATACAAAATAAATATTTGTTATTGAAAATAGTTAAAATCTAGATCATGTACAAACTGTATCTGAAGATATTATTGACTGCACTACTTTGTTGTTCAGCTAAATACCTCTTTTTACGTTGATGCTAAGAGGCTAATCAGCTGCAACAACCATTACAAATCGTTATCTGAAAATGTATGTTTAAATTAATGCCAATTAAAACTTTTAGCGCTTTTAAGGCCATGGCTCCTAAACAATTTTCGTGATCTAAAGTGAGAGCCCCGTCCCGACCGACCCGACCATCCTATTAAGTTTGTAAATGATCCTTTAACACCATTTTTTACCAAAATATCGTTCTCTAGAGGGGTTCAAAAATCCAATTTTAATCCGGTAAGCGCAATGTAAATTTCTACAATCAAATTTGAATTTGTTTAAATACCTATTCAAGTTTAACAGTCGTAATATGAGATCAACTTGTAGATTTGCAAGTATCTGTTAACAATTAGCTTTCCATTTTAATTCAACTTGAGTTTGCCTTTCGACAAACGGGTTGGGACAGTTGCTACGACAGCAGTATATTATACCGAGTTCAACCCGACTTTGCACTTGTCTGCAGGGCTCTACTCACATTACACATCTTGCCGATTCTGCACTCTGCAGTCTGCGCCGCGGTAACAGTGGTGAATCATATTACGAATTAATGAAGATAACGCGGCAAGCGCTCAAACGAAAAGTTTTCGTATAAAATGACGTAAAAGCTTGGTCGCCAAAAAACGATTTTTTTCAAATTATTTATACATTCTCAGCTTTGTAGGCAAAATTTGTTTACGTTTAATAATTTAGTTGGTCTTATTTGTTATTAAAGTGCAGTTTTAAGATTTTTTTTTACCTAGATTCTTAAAGTTAACAAACAATTATTATAAGACGACATTCAATGTATAGACGTCGACATTCAGGAAATATTTCTCAATTCTTTCCAGGCTGAGACCTCAGAGGCGATTGTACCGAATTTGTTTAGTTCGTTCTCCTTTGGGGTTCTTTTCTGTCAAAACTGGTTTATTTCTGTGCTTAATCATTTAGTAAAACATCAACATATACTAAACTTGAATGCAGAATCAAAAAATCAAGCTTCAAATTGTCATATACAGGGTGTCCCACGAAACATGACAGTCATGCAAGAGGCCTTGAATGTCGTCTTGATTTTTGATATAATTTGCTGCGTTTATTTGTCAGCCTAATTTTAGAAGTAAATTTCTAGAAATAATAATCACAAAATTCCCCTAGTCCAGCTATTTCCAAAATGTGGTCTGCATTTTTTGTGCTTTCAATATTGCCCGTGATATGAACAATTTCGTTTAGATTTCGACAATTTTGCTTTTTTTTAACAAAATTGAAATCTGAACCAAACTCTTTTTATCTCCGGTAATATTGAAAGCACAAAAAACGCAGACCACTTTTTGGAAATGCCAGGGCTAGGAGAATTATGTGATAATTGTTTCAAGAATCATACATGTTAAAGTAGATAGAAGACTAAATGTCACAAATAAATTCAAATATCAAAGACGACTTTCAAGTCGTCTTGCTATTGTCATGTTTCGTGGGACCCCCTGTATTTAGAGTTTTGAGTCGTCTTTACAGTCTTTGTGGGTAACACTGTATTTCCTAATATCTCCGTCACTTTTTCAGGTACAAAATGGTAGACCACATTTTGGAAATCCCGAAGACTAGTATTTTTCGGTGTAAAATTTGTTTTAGAAATAATCCCGCATGGAACAAAGACCATATAGAAGTCGTCATTTAATTTCAATGTTTGTGGGGACGTACCTTATCTATAGATTTTTGGTCCCTCTGGTAAACCCCCCGCCCCCCGGACCACTGAAATATATGGATTTCAGGGAGTTTTCAGGCCCCACGGGTGCTAAGCTCCCCCGTGGAAAGAAAAAAAAAAATGTAAGTCCCCCCATGACAAATTCCTTAATACGCCCCTGGCTAGTATAATTATAAAGAATCTCGTTTTTTTTAACTAATATCTCTGTTACACTCTTTTCTCATAGTAACATCATAATTATGACTATTATAATATGACTATTTTAATTAACTATTTAAATAGTGCAGCTATAGTAAGGATCGCTAACAATTAATGAAAACTAATTAGTCGTCCTGAACTGAAAGTCGTCGACTATTTCCAACTATTTAGGACCGTTTGACAGTAATAATCATTAAAAAGCTTAATGGTTGTAGTCTTTTTAATCTGCAATTATAAATGGAGAAAGGAGTCATGGAGGTGTCTTATGGAGGTAAAGGGGGGAAGCAGAGGCAATTTATGGGTTTGGCTGGAAAGAGAGACGTCCCCCTCCTTGGAAAACTGGAGGGGGGGGGACGTCCCCCCCTGGAAAAATTAGGATCGCAAATAGAGAGTGCAGGCACCTTCTAGCCTTCTATTTCACTCAAAATAAATATTTTTATAAAAATCCAAATCTTGCAAACAAATTTTTAACCTTCCATCCCCCCAAGCTGCTAATGGTTTTGACATAAAATTGACTCTGTAACAATTATTCCAGAGGGGGGGGGGGTGCCCGGGGGTGGTAACAAATCTTGGCGCAATTATTCAATAATTCCCCCCCTCCCCCACTGGAAAATATCATGATTCATGACCCGCCCCAGGGGCGTACGAGGGCTTTTGCGAAGGGGGGGGCACAATACCCTTTTTAAATTTTTTTTTGCCCCCCCCCCTCCCACCTGGACTTGTTTTGTTCACCATAAAAATACACCAAAAAGACTACATTTATGGTGGTTACTAACCATATAGTCTAAAAATTATTCCTTTGCTTGAAAAACTAAGTTATTAACTTTATAAATTTTTCACTTAACTCCATCACAGCTAACTAAATCAATAATCACAGCATTTTTAAAAATTATATTTTTACTAATAAACGAAATTTCTTCTGAAATTTATAAGTAGAATTTACTCAATCTACATATTCCCCAACTCTTTTAAGCTACAATTTTCTGGGATTTGCTTGCACAAACATTTCAATAACTTTTTCAGTAGAGAGCTCAGACAGCCTTATAGGGTGTAAAGCTATAAGTGCAAGATAACGTTAAGTCTGCTCTCCGTCATAGTACAACTTGTGTAATGAAGAATTCTTTTTAGAAGGCTAAAACTTTTCTCTCCTTGTATTAACAGTGAATTTAGACAAATCCTTAGTCTTTGTCATTGTCAGGTGTTACTTTTTAAACGTAGTTTCCTTTTAATTTTGTATTTTCCAGGGGGGCAGTGCCCCGCCTGGAACTCCCAGGGGGGCAAGAGGACTACAGCCCCCCTAGGTACGCCACTGTGCCTGGCCTGAGGAAGGGAAATGTAAGCAGATGTAATATTAAAAGAGCCTCCCCCATGGGTGCCCCCTTCAGCCTCTCAGGGGGGGGTACGCGTAGAGGGGGGGGGGCGCGGTCCCCCCCTCGTACGCCCCTGACCAGCCCCCCATACATGTATAGGATTTAATATTTGTAATTGTTTATCGAAGCCACCAGGCACCAATCTTTGCATAATCATACAAATACGCAGCAGCATATAATACGCAGCAGCATATAATCAGATATATGTGACCTTTATTTTTGTAACTTAATACTGAAAATAGTATATTACATATAAAGAGTAAAATAAATGACGATGAACAATAAACTTTTTAATAATTTGGTTTTTCCGTGAATGCCCGTTAATTCTTATGTTCAAAAATAAACTTCTATTGAATTAATTTTGTAAAAATATATCTTGTCTCCAGTGACTTGCATAGTTTTTAAATATTACAGTGATACCCTAAACTCTGAAATAGGAAGACGACTTTATAGCAATACTTAAGTGTATTTGATGTTGTTCCAAAACAGATATGTTTACTATACACTTATGAAATCACTAATTAAGTAAAATGAGCCTGTTTATACTGCAAAATGCTCATTGATTTGTTAAAAGTCCATGAGTCTAAAAGTCGTCTTCCTATTTAAGAGGTTTCTGGTATCACTGTAGACATTACTTTCCTGATTTAAAATCAGTGTTTAGCGTTACAAGTTGATAAAGCATCATCATGAAAACATTTACATCACGATGTTTGGTTTGCAATGAAATAATTAAACATATTATAAAATAAACTATTTTTCTAATCCTAATCAGTCTCTAGGTTTCAAATGTGGCAAAAATTGGCAAAATCACATTTTCTCAGATAATTGTTTTCTATTCAATATATACAAAAAAAAAAGTTTTGTGTAAAAATTTGAAACAAAAAAATAATTTGTTGTTATATGTTAGAAAATAGTTCCATGATTTTAATTAGTTAAAGCTTTTTACGCATTATTTGAATAGTTTGATTTTACTTTTTACATGATATAAATGTTTTGGGCAAGGACTAGTTTTTTAAATAAAGAATATATAATATATCCAGGTTGATATATAATATATCCAGGTTGATATATAATATATCCAGGTTTATATATAATATATCCAGGTTTATATATAATATATCCAGGTTTATATATAATATATCCAGGTTTAGACCTACTTTGTAGGATATCAGTCTTATTAAACTTAATAGGTTGCAATTCTTATTCATTCTTAGAGATTACGTAAGAAAAATATACATTATTCATTCACTCGTAATTAGATTTGAGAATATGTGAAAAAGTGGAAAATGTTAAATAAAAACCACTCTTTGGTAAAAAGTTATTAAAATTGGTAAATATTTGAAAACATAGATCTAATTGCTATATTTTGATCAGCTTAAATCTTACACATGGGTCGGTAGCTTCAATAGCTTTATCTTATAGAATGCATTCAGGAATTGATCAATAACTTTATCTTATAGCATGGATTCAATAAGTTCAATATTTTTGTCCTAGAACCAGTCTTATAGTAGTTGAATACTTAAGTTTATTAGATAACTATTACAGTTTATAGAAGTTTACTACTTAGTACTTAACTTTAGTAGCTTTTAGCTTTTAGGAATAGTAGTTTACTGCTACAGTTTAGTAGTTTATTACTAAAGTTTCCAGTTTACTACTAAACTTTAGTAGTTTTTCACTATAGCTTAGTAGTTTACTGCTACAGCTTAGTAGTTTATTACTAAAGTTTACAGTTTACAATTAAACTTTAGTAGTTTAGTATTAAAGTTTGACAGCTCACTTTGATATTTAAGTAGAAACATTTGTATGAAGCTATTGAATCTGAAGCTAATTGACCCAGTATAAGATTTATCAGATTTAAGCTGCAATCATCCCACGTCAAAATTCAAAGAGGATTAGAGATAAAACTATTTTAAGATATAATATATGATAGAAATATATGAAGCAACAAAAATAATGAACGCTAAAACAGCAATTGTATTGCTAGTTTTCAGTCTTATACATTCAGACTTATAATTATTGAGCTATGCCCAGTTAATCTGACAATAATGTGGCTAATATCAGAGATGCTCTCCGTATACTAGTGGTGCTAGGGTACCCAGAGATGGGTGCATCTCAAGATCCAAAGAAATTTCGATTTAAAATTCTCCACAGAGTCCCAGTGCAGTCTCTAAGAGCTCTTAAAACCCTGTAACATTGTTGTATCTTTGAGATACTTTCATCTTTCAGTTCATCATGTTTTGTTTTAATTCCTCAGAATTTCTCGATGCAAACTATTAAATTCTATAAATAAATCACTATAGATTTTGGAATTTCCCTTCGTTTTTTGTAGCAAATTATTTCTTGATTTAGCCTGGCCGGTTTAATGTAGGTTTGAGTCCAACCAACCCTTGTACAAGGTTAGGCCATGGGTTCTAGATAGTTTAAACCCTAGGATATCTTTATCCGCCAGATTTCCTTTGATTATTATGATCTATATAACAACTTGCTAACAGAGCTAAATTATCAATATTCCAACTAGGATTTGTTATCTTTTTTCTTTGATCTTCTCTTTTCTTGGTTAAGCTTCGTCTCCTGGTTCTCCTTCTCCTAGTTCTCTTCCTTCTCCTTATCTATACTAGAGAAATCTCGAATTTGAGAAAGAGCAATCAGGTTTGAGCCGTTCTTTACGTCCTGAACAAACAAAATCTATAAGAAAACTGAAGTACTTTCAAATACTTAGGTTATCAGAGACCGGCAGGATAGTTATACATATTGAAAAAGTTCTAAAAATTACAAGTTCTCAGCGACAAGCCAGGTTTTTACAATTGAACATCACTTCTCATTTTTCAGTATTTAGAGAAACTTAAAATATCCTATAATAGTATTTTACCTGGACTATTTGCCTTGAGAAATTGGATGATTCAAATTCCTGAGTTTTAGTCGCAGTTGGGGGAGGAGCCTGGAGCGGAGAGAATGCCGAACTTGTCCTTGGTATCTCGGGCCATGGCGGAGAATAAGGAGATAAGTCTCGTCCATCCGTATCTCCCAAAAGTCCGGATCCACCGTATCCATACATGGTCATGGGGTCCATTTTTGACCACGCGTATGGATCTGCCATGAGCCCGGAGCCGGTTTGACCTCCACTACTGATTATAGGAGCGCGCTTGTCAAGCCGATCAGAGTGCTTCTGCATATGCTTAGCCAGGTAGGTCTCCTGGGTGTAGCTCTTCCCGCAGTAGGAGCAGATGTGGGTTTTCACATGCTTGGACTCCTTATGCTTGGGAATATGCTCAAGCAGTGCAGATTCTTCAGTGAAGCATTTGTAGCAGGAGTTGCACTTGTAGGGTTTATCCGTCTGGTGGCACCTGGAGTGGGACTGCAGGTTGGACAGCTGAGAGAACGCTTTAGTGCAACCTGTAAGCAGAACAAAAACTAAACTTTTTATACGAAAGAATAAATGGCCTTGGTGAGGGCCATATACATGATATTATTTATTTTATGTTTTTACTGGGGAAAGTACACCCGATCAGCTGACTCCCATGATTATTTCTTATCCAACCTTTTTTTGCAGGAATAAGCTGAAATTTTTTGTTTAAAGATATATATATACATTTATATAGGTCAGGTTGGGCCTACAATCATTATGCATTGATTTCATCAAGGTGTAAAAACGTAATAACTGTTTTTGCCTTGACTGAGTTCCTGTTTATGAATGTATATAAATAATCGATATTGATGTAGCAATAAATACTGTGACAAATAGGTAGAAAACAATTCAGATTAGTTTTATATGCGTCACCGAATTCAGAAAATAACCACAAAGCCGCTAATGTACCTTATAATGGTCAAAAACAGCCTTCGATAAGATTCCAGTGGATTTGACTGCTACATTATTTTTTACCTGGAATCCTGCACTTGTAGGGTTTGTCTCCGGTATGTGTTCTGATGTGCTGTTGAAGATGAGAGAGCTGGGTAAACTTTCTCTGGCAGATCTCACATCTGTAGGGTTTAATACCAAGATGTATTCTAGTATGTTGCGACAGGTAAGAGCTGTTTGCGAATGCTTTCCCACAACTGGCGCATTTATAAGGTTTGGGTTCCCGTAAGTGAATCTGGGTGTGTAGCTGAAGGTCAGCTTTGCTAGCAAAAGCCTAAAACAAAATTAAATAAAAATCTAAACACAAACTTCTAGATGATTGAGGGGTTACCTGTGGACACATCTTGCACTGGTACTTCCTCATCCCTCCATTATGCATCCCCATAGAGTTCTGGATCCGGGGATTTATCGGCTGAGGTACGACTAGACTTGGAGCAGGGGGAGATAGAGAAGTGGACGATTGAGGACGAGTATATGCGCCCATAGGGTCCTGTAGTCCTCCGTCCATACCCATCTTTGACTAAAATTTAGAAAATTAGTTTTTTTACAAGAAGATTTGTGTAAAATAGGAAGGAGAAAAATAAATCTTTATCAAAAAATTGTATTAATGATGTTACTGAATGAAAAGTCAATTAATTCAAAGGACTGTTCTTGTCATTTAAAGTGACCGGCAATTTAAGGGAGACATGTCCGATTTACAACGGTAACCTTGAAGGTTATTTTATCAAAAATGTGAAACCTCAATGAAAAATAATGAAACTTGAAACAGATAAACATGTATATCTTATTCATTTTTGATCATACAACAACTTTTAAGGGATCGGACGTGCCACTCACGAAAAATTACTCGTACGGTCCCTTTAAGTTTGAGTTCTTAAATATTGTAAACTGTCCCTTAAACGAAATAGAATTTGGAAGAACATTTTTGAGATCTAACCTCTACTCCGTTCCACATATACGCCGGATGAAGGGAAGTAGGTTCATGATTCATATGCTCCGCCATTACAGACATCCAGTGAGCTAAACCCTGGGTTCCGCCACCAGCTCCGCCTCCACTCTTCTCTCCGCCCCATACCAGACTCGCCTTCTGTAGAAAAAAAATTCATTATTAGAACCAATAAATTAACTCTTAGGATGCCTAGTTTAAAGGAATTGAGTTTTTGCCACAAACTCTAACTGTTTCCCTCCTATATCTTCGCGACCCAATGTAATAAACCTTTGATATTTCAAACTATGAATTCTGTTAGATCAAATAGTCTAAATTTGAAATATCATCGGTTTATGCCATCTGGTTGTAAAGATATAGGGATTAGAAAATTTGCGTTTGTGGCAAAAACTCAATTCCTTAGGACGGACATATCACACACGTTGTAGTGTTGTACGATGTACATAAATACACACCACATACAATTTACATCGGCATAAAACATTTTCATTGACTTATGAGACCGGGCCTGCTGTCAGGTGTTGCCTTAGTTATTGCTCTGCCCATTCATACAATTTATTATTTTTTAGCCTAGGAAATAGGGATTTTAAAGCTGCAAAGTACTTTTTCTAGCTTTAGTTTTAATGGAGTAATTTAATTTATACTTTCAGTGTACACTGTGTACAGATGTTAAATTATACCATAAATTAACTTTCGTTAGGGAAATTCATAGGACAGTATTCCTAAAGTAAACCATGCCGGTAGCGCTATAGTGTACCAAGACGTCAATTTTTCCCTATTGCATTAAATATATAATTCATCTAGCAAATGAAAAAATCCACGAAAAACAGGAATGTTTAAAACATAAAAACGGAATAGAATAGAATGTTGAGTGTAAATATATATGAAAATATTTGTATAATAAATTAGATATATTGTGAAGAAGATATATTATATATAAAGCAAGACGGATATTGTGTCTAGGAATTATAGATTATGAAGAAACCTGTAATAAGATTACTGGGGGCTTAACAACACCCTTCAATAAGTAAAAATATCAGAAGACTTGAGAATTTACAGAGGAGTAACTAGATATCAGATATCAATTGTACCAAATAGTTAATAATAATAATGATAAATTTTTCGGTGTACATAATTTTAAATATTTGTTTATGCATTATGTCTAAAATTCTATATAAGATTATTTAACATCTTGACAACAATAAAATACGTGTATGTTTATCCAAACAATTATACAATTGTTTTTTACATCTCATTAATTGATTACAGGCAAACCAATAAAAACGACCTAAACTTGCGATGGTCTATTTCTAATGTTTCATGCGTCGTAGGAAAATATTAAGTATGAGATTTAAGAAAGTTTTTCTGGATGCCGTTTGATAATTATTATTGGAACCTAACCAGAGGTAAGAGAGTAACAGAGATCAATTGAAACCTATAATATGTGATATTTTCCACAGCAGGTTCTATTGTGGACAAGTACTGTACACGACCAATCAGCAGACATCTGTATTCAGGGATATTTAAGGATCCTTTGGATACGAATAACAAAATCTTCAAAAATAGACTAAATTCATAAATCGTGTGTTTCTTGTTAAAAATTGGAGTATTTCTTTATAAGTTGTAAAACTGAATGGGTATTATATGCAACAAGTGGCCGTTAGATAGCAGTCAAAAAACCTTTCAAGAAAGTGTAGCATGGCGTGCAGGGACACTTAGGCCTGCTTAGCCTGTTCAGGAATTTGAAGTGACCCTACATTTCAAGATCGGTCATACAAAGGTAATTAAAGGGTACCTTTGTAAATCGGACTTGCCGTTATTTTTTTTAATGGAGGGTCATTTGAAATTACGTTTACAGTCCCATAATTTAATTGTCTGATATTTGTAAACTTTCTCATGAAAGCTTGAAGTATCTTCAGAACAGAAAACTCTATTATTCGAGGTTTCATGTTATCTAGTTGTTAAAAATTTATTAAAATTTTTGTATTAAGTTCCATACACGGTTACAAAATGTTTCTCGCTTTTTATCTCTGTAATATGTTTTGTACAGAAAATGACAACAAACTGTAGAACTTTAAGTCAATAACAATCCATATAAATGCGGGAAAATATGTTGTGTACTGTACATCAATTAATATAAATATTTACAACAAAAAACACCTAAATACATGTTTACTGTTTATTCCCAAGTATATTAGAGGCCGAACATTGGCCCCAAATTCTGTAGGAAGTTTGGCCTCCTTCCGAGGATATTGAACCCTAGACCTCGATCAGTGTCCGTAGAAGGAACAGATCTTATCTTAGATTCAATGCTTGGAAATTAACTTAGGATTTTTTCTTGGGGTTGGGCAGGGGGGAGTGGGGTGTTATCTTTAATTAGAATTTTATCAAATTTCCGAAATGTTCTTTTTTAATCTGTTTCGTCAGCCGTTATTTCTGCTGACTAGAAAGAATGTTTATCTTTAACTTACATCTGTCCAAACTCAAGATCTCATCAAATTTAGATTCATAAAAATTTTATTTGATAAAAACATGATATCAAATCATTGTAAATTAAAAAAGTACAAAAATATTTTTCCCGGGCGATTTTTTCGAACTTAAATTTCCAATTTTCCCAAAACAAACTTAAGTCTTGCTTTTAATGCGTTTATGTTTAGTATGACTGTGAATAGACAAAACTAAACTTGTCTACATGTGGCTTTAATTTGTCAAAATACCCCCCCCCCCCACACACACACACAGACAACTGCTTCCCTCCCTGATAGCTAGACACCCACAGGGCTAAAAAATTGGATGATTCAGGGGGTAAATATTAATAGAATCAAACACTTGAAAGAAATTGAGTCTTTGCCAAAAACTAAAATTTTCTAATTCCTATATATTTGCAACCTGATGGTATAACCCTTTGATATTTCAAACTTTGACATTTTGATCTGTTAGAATTGCTACTTTTAGATATTAAGTTCTACATCATTAGATTGTTAAGATAAGTGATATTCCAAATTAGGAGAGTTTGATGAAAGTAATTCCTTTCGAAACTACTAAAAAAGTATGAAAATATAGAAGATTGATTTGGAAAATTATAAGACAAGTTTAAAGCTAGATTATGAAAAAAAGAATAAAAAATATTAAGTGGTTTAGTAAATGTAGTAAATGTAGGAAGTAACTAAATAAAATCTATAAATGATACCACGGATCACGGTCGGTAGTGTGCTGATATAGAAAGGCACTTAAAGTGTATACCTACATTCTTCATACATGAACATTTTAGAGAGAAAATAACCATAAAATAGTTTAATATCGTTTCTGTCAAATCAAAGTCTCATATTTGTTAACACTCGCTAAAGGTTTAGTTAAAAAGAGTTAAAAATAATGAATTATTACCATTAAAGTGAAAATCTTTGTTTTTGGTTGATAATTTAAAGGCATGAAGATAAGACCAAAAATAATCATAATTAACCTGAGGCCGAATTAAAAAAAAATGAGCAGCGGCTTAGAGACATGACTCAAATATGGCTGATTCCTCTTAAAATTGTATTCAAAGTTTCAAGATTTAAGCCGGCGCTAATTGAAACCGGTTTTTGGCGGATTTGAGACGCGGCTTAAATTCATTAAATTTGGGCTCTGACGTGTAATTACAATAGCTATTGCTATTTTAAATTAATAATTAGCCTTGTGTAATTGTATGTTTACTGTATGTATTAGGAACTATTAATTGTATGTTTAATGTATGTAATAGCAACTAGTAATTGTATGTTTAATGTATGTAATAGCAACTATTAATTGTATGTTTAATGTATGTAATAGCAACTAGTAATTGTATGTTTAATGTATGTAGTAGCAACTAGTCATTGTATGTTTAATGTATGTAATAGCAACTAGTAATTGCTGGAAATTAAGATTAATATCAGAAATAGAACAATAGCCTTTTTCTAAACAACAAAATTAAATTCTAAACTTTAAAGTTGAATTAAAATTTGCTCAGAATTTAAAAAAAGTGATTTTTTTTTGGAAAAAGCTAGTAGAAATGATTAAAAAATTAGATGATATTCAAAACTATTTTTCTATTCTTAAAAAAAAATAACTCTAGGGATCGAATACTTAAAAAAATTAAGACAGCACTGTAAATGAAGAAAAATAAGAAACATATTTTTAAAAGTTGAATTTTGAAAAAAACATGTTTTTTAAAACTAGAAAATTAGTAAGATAGCTAGATTGCGTGTAAGCCCGGGGGTTGGGGACTAGGAGTCGTTGAACCGAGTTTTTGTAGACATCACGTGACGGGCAGACAGGCAGCAGACACGGCCAATAATAAATCAGGACCAGGCTTGAGTTTACTCGGCTTAGATATCTGCCATATTTGTTTATTTATTAAGGTATAGCTGAGAACCGTTAGTCGTCTTCGATTCTACATTTGAACTAACGTTCTTTGCCGTAAAGTGGCAGCTGATAAACAATAAATATGATAATATATATATTTTTAAGGATTAGGCACGACTGTTACTATTAAATGTCATGAAGTCAGGAAAATTCAGAGATTTGATTTAAAGGTTTAAATTTAAAAAAAGGATTAAGCTCGCGAGAATAGGGTTAGCTCAGAAAAGACAAGATAGGTCATAAAGTACATTGGTTTATCAGATCTGATGGATCAGTGTTGGGTCAAGAAGGACAAAGTCATCTCGAAAAGGTTTGGGTTTTAAGTCAGGAAGGACATGGGTAAGTCAGGAAGGACCATGGTAAGTCAGGAAGGACCATGGTAAGTGAGAAGGACCATGGTGAGTCAGGAAGGACCATGGTAAGTCAGAAAGGACCATGGTAAGTCAGGAAGGACCACGGCAAGTCAGAAAGGACCATGGTAAGTCAGAAAGGACCATGGTAAGTCAGGAAGGAACATTGTGAGTCAGTAAGTGCAAGGCTAAGCCAAAAATACGGTTCGATATTAAAATTTGAGGGAAAAAAAGGTTTTAGGTGATAAAGAAAAAGTTTTCAGTTAGAACTAATACAACATTGTTTAAAGTCTGGAAGAAAAACAAAGAAAGATTGAAAGTACAAAGATTGAAAATATGTTTAATTGTTTCTTTCTGTAGAAGATTCAAACAACTAATAATAATTAATTATCATGAATATAAGTTTTAGAATTA